GCTTTGGCCTTCTCTGGCTGCTTCCGTCATGGGAATTTAAGTCCCTCTTAGCATCAGTGTGTTGGTATAAGCCCCACAACAGGAATCTGCCATAAGCCGTATGAGGTGACCACGGAACTGCAGATCCGGACTCCACACTTGCTTTGTGCTTAATTATACATCTCATTCACACACATTCAACCTCCAAGATGTACCAACTACCAAGGAAATACTTTGTTGCCCCTGTGACTTTTCTTACCTTGGTTTGTGCACAGAGTTACCTGGTCACCATGGTATGTGAGGATCCTTTTCACCTGCGTTGCTGAGAGTCCAGGTTTGTTTGTCATGCTGGGGGAGGTCCTGATCCCTCATCCCTGAGGCCACCGCAGCGAGACAGTGGGATACATCTCCTCATGAGAGATGGTCAGGGACCTCTTCCCGGATGAGAAAGGCAATCACGGATGAGCCCCCAAGTTGTTAGAAACAAGGGCTTGGAGTGACAAGGAAAACAAGCACCCAAACGAAGCATTTCTCAGCAAAGCAAATTTACTTCTGCAGAAGGGTGCTAGTTGCACTTCTGGCCGTGCTGTAAGAGCACACCAAACAAAGGAGGGAAGGGGTTTTTATCCCTAACACGGTTAATCCCTGGTTCTGTGTCCTGTCCCCATTGGCTAGAGTCAGACTGCACAATCTACACTGACCCTATTGGCTACCATTTAAAATTGAATATGGCTAATTAGGCGGGGAGAGGCTGTCTGTTACAGTACATCGCATGTTTGGGCATGTCAGGGTGCAGCAAAGGTGGGAAGGGTAGTTTTTAACAGGGAGAGCTATTTCAGCAGTAGGGGTTGCTGACAAAATGGGTAGCCAGGATTAAAGAGGACTCTTTCCAAATAAGGAAGAGAAGTGAGTTACAGATTGGCACTGGCAGAAGTTGTTTACAGAGCAGATAGCTTAGGAGAAGAGACAAGGAAGTAGAGCTCAAGAACAAAGAATAAGGAAGTCAGAAATTAAACCTTTGAAGAGGAACTTACTGTATCTGACATGCTCATGGATTCCTTAGGTCAGTAATTTGGAAGGGCAGTGTGTGGGTGGCTTGTTTCTTATCCCAAGATGTGTGGGGTCTTAGCTGAGAAGACATATGCTTGAGGTGCACTTGGCTAGAAGCTCACATCACTTGGAGGCATCTTCCCTGACATCTTTGGCAGCTATGCCACCTGATGACTTGGACTTAACTTGGCTGTTGGCTGGAATACCCGTATGTGGCTTCTTCATGTGGTCTAATTTGGGCTACTTTATAGCATGAGAGCTAGGTTCCAAGAATGAGTGTCCCCACAGAGCAAGGAAGATGTGCGTGGTATTTTTATGGTTCAGGCTTGGAGCTGTATAGCATCACTTAAACTGTACACTGTTGGTTGATGCTGTTACAAAAGGCCATTCAGATTCAAAAGGAGGGTGATAAAGACCCCACTACTCAACTGGAAGAGTGTCAAGTTTACATAAAAAGGAGGACACCATGGGAGATAATGTGGTTATATTTGGAAAATAGAATCTACATTATGAAGAGTTGTTGCAAAAGGAAAGGTTTTGAATAAAGCCATATTTAATTCATGCCCTTGAGCCATGATCTTTTTTCCTTTCATTTGCTCTTAACCTAAAGGCATTCATGGAATCTCTGCAGAATTGGTTTTCTGATTCCCAAATTGTAGACAATGGGGAGAAAATAAACTGCAAAACCTGCATACTTTACTTTGCATCCTGCATTCTTTCTCATGATTTATGTTAAAATGACCATTCAGCTAGCAAATTTACTTTATGGAAAGTTTGGTATGCTTTTGGCTGCTGTTCTATCATAAAATTGACTTATCTAAAAACTGTCAATGTTAATACACATTAGATTTGTATTAGCATATGCGCTATTTTTTGTTGCTATAAGTTCCTGGAGTCTAGTTATAGTATATAGCAATGACACAAATCCATTTTTCTGTAGATACAGGGTAGTTATTTGAGATTATAATCTGGATTGAAAATTCGACAGCAGATATAGGTAAAGTCAAAGATATGTCAGAAAAATAAAAGGCACACCAAGAATATGTCTACTATGACACAGACTACTAACATTAACCTGCCAGTTCTATAAATTGTACGTATATATTGCATATGTGCAACATGTAAGTACAATTTGACATAAAAGTACATGTCGAGCATACATGTACAACATGATTATGGAACCATTCTCATTCCAAATGTTAAGGTTCGTGGTTTTTGGAAACTTTTAAGGATAGGTTGACTCCAGTCATTCAGACAGAACCTCAAATACTGGCATTTATCCTGGTGAATTCACAGAGGGTCTTGTGCCCGACTTTACAGGTGTAGATACCTGCTGCTTTTGGCACGCTAAGAGTGGATTGGTCTTTAGGGAGATTTAGGTAATCAGGTTTATCAGAAAAAAAGCAGGAAATACAGTTGTTGGGGAGATAATTTCCTTTATCTACCCCCTCCATTCTTTTTGCTGTTCTCGTATTTCCTCCCTGTGTTAGAAATACTGCCTTTCAATGCCATCACTTTAGCTTTCAATAGTCTTTTGAAGGAAATTACAAGAAGAAAATACAGCATACTGTTTTACATTTACACTTATTTACTATAAGATTTTCATTCCCAGAGATCCAGTTTTGAATTTATATGTTTTTAAATAATCCTGGTAATTTTGTTTTACATTTCTTGTAATGCATGTCTGCTGTCAACAAATTCTTATATCTTCTGTTTATCTGAAAAGTTATTCTTCCACTCTGCTTTTGAGGGGTATTGAATTTTCAGTTGAGTTTGTTCTTTCACCACTTTAAAGATACCTTCTGGCCTATATTGCTTCTGATGAGAAGTGGCCTTGGTTTGTATTGTTCCCTTGTTTCTTTTTTCTTTCATTGCTTTCAAGATTTTATAGTTGTTGGTTTTCAATAGTTTGATTATGATGTGACTAGGTAGTTCTTTGTATTATTTTACATGGAATTTGATTTGTAAATCCTTTTTTCACCTCCATCAAAGGTAGGATTATTGACTCATTATTTCTGCAAGCAGTTTTACTTTTTAATGCCTCATTTTACACTCTGTTCTTTTAATTCTCCATTTGTACTTATGTTAGACCTTTTGAGGTTTCTGGCTCAAGAGACTGGATGCTCATGTCATTAATTAGTTAAGATTAAAATGCAGCAAGTTTACTTGTAATCTCAAAATACAGGTTGTTACATTTGACAGTTAAGAGGTCATTGGTGACCTTAGCCACAGATAGAGAATGAAAGTGGAGTCCGAACAAGAAAAAAAGGGTTGAGGAGTAAATAGAAACTGGAGAAATGAAGAGGCTTACTTATGTTTCTGTGTTTGATGCTCCATAATTATGTTTATAATCCAGAGTTTTATTTTACTTTTTGGCCTTCATCATAAACGGCATCTCCCTCTTCCCTCCTTTTTAAAGTGTTCTGAAAAAATATGAACCATTTTGTGACATGATTTCTAGGAGAATAATTGATATAATAAACTGCCTGTGCTTAAAGAAAAGAATATCTTAGCTAGGGAATTAATATTTTTCTGACTTGATGTGACTTGTGGTTGAACCTCTCTGACATTGGATATTCAATTGGCATCTTTTTTTATATTCATATAGCAGGAAAACTAGACAGTATTATACACAAGGACCATTTTACCTTTTTTTTTTTTTTTGAAGACAGGGTCTCCCTCATCACCCAGGCTAGAGTGCAATGGTGCGATCTCAGCTCACTGCAACCTCTGCCTCCCAGGTTGAAGTGATTCTCCTGCCTCAGCCTCTGGAGTAGCTGGGATTACAGGCACATGCCACCATGCCTGGCTAATTTTTGTGTTTTTAGTAGAGATGGGGTTTCACCGTGTTAGCCAGACTGGTCTTGAACACTTGACCTCAGGTGATCCGTGTTCCTTGGCCTCCCAAAGTGCTGGGATTACAGGCGTGAGCCACTGTGCCTGTCCCCATTTTGCCTTTATGTGGGTGATGTTGCAATTGTTAGGAAGCAGAAGACTTGAGGCCTCTATATATGTATTAACTTTTATGTTTGTTTTAATGGACACTAGAACATTATTGAATAATTCGTTATTAACCTATTACAGGCTTTTGTGAAGTCATAAATACATTTCAGGTAATAATATACATAAGGATGACTTCATTAAGTAATATTTTTTAACTGGGCAGACTTTCATATGCAAATTATTATGTATCTTAACTTCAAAACTTAAAAGTTTTGACATTCAAAATTTTCTCATATGAGTGTTTTGTGTAATAAATATAGGGCACCAAAAGCAAAATACAACAAAGAAAAATAAAAAGCATTTAATTCTTGGATAGAGTTCTCCTGGGGAGCATTTTGACTTCCTTTAATTAGATAATATTATAGTTAAGAATGAAATGTGATATTGAAGGGTTTTGTTACATTTTTACTGTACATTAGTTTTTTTTTTGTTTTTTTTTTTTTTGAGATGGAGTTTCACTCTTGTTGCCTAGACTGGAGTGCAATGGTGCAATCTTGGCTCACTGCAACCTCCGCCTCCTGGGTTCAAGCGATTCTCCTGCCTCAGCCTCCCATGTAGCTGGGATTACAGGCACACACCACCAGGTCCAGCTAATTTTATAATTTTAGTAGAGACGGGGTTTCTCCACGTTGGTCAGGCTGGTCTTGAACTCCTGACCTCAGGTGATCCACCCACCTCGGCTTTCCAAAGTGCTGGGATTACAGGCATAAGCCACTGCGCCCAGCCTGCATTAGTATTTTAGAGTAAAGAATGAGGTTACATACTTAACGTTAAAGAAATCCCTTTGTAGTGACTTTACTCATGATTCCAAGATGAATGCAGTTTAGTACTTTTTGATTTTGGAGTATTTTAACCATAACGTTTCAGAATTAGGCAGGTACTTCATAAAAAAAATGCCTGGTTATTGCAGGTGGTTGTAGTGTTGGATTTGTTATTGAAATATTATCTTTCTTTTTTTTTCTTCCCAGTTCAAAGCAGTATTCAGCGATTTCAAGAGAAGTTTTTTATTTTTGCTTTGACACCTCAACAAGTTAGAGAGATATGCATATCCAGGTAAGAGGAATATTTGGAATGTATTTCTCATGAATATTGGTTTATTCACCTGTAGGACTGCCATAACAAAATTTCACAGACTGAGAACAGCGTAAGCAACAGACTTATTTCTCAAAATCCTGGAGGCTTCTGTCCAAGATCAAGGTTTTGGCAGGTTTGATTTCTCCTGAAGCCTTTCTCCTTGGCTTGCACATCTCAGATGGCCTTTTCTCTGTACTAGTGCATCCCTGATGTCTGTCTTTTCTTGTAAGGACACATTCATATTGGATTAGGGACCTACCCTGTGGCTTTATTTAACCTTAATTTCCTCCTTAAAGGCCTTGTCTCCAAATACAGTCACATTGGGGGTTAAGACTTCAACATATGTTTGGGGATACACAATTCAATCCATAACAGTTGACCTGTTTCTTTTATGAAAGGGTAGTATACTTTGACTAAAGTCAGCCAAATATTAAGTAAATACTGTGTATTAGAAAAAATTTTTAACCTTTGAATAAAACCTCAATGTCTTTTAGATTGCTTTTTGTTCTATTTGACAATAATTTTTTAAATGAAAAATTTATTCGCAGGCTGGACATGGTGGCTCACGCCTGTAATCCTAGCACTTTGGGAGGTGGCAGTATCACTTGAGCCCAGGAGTTCAGACTAGCTTGGGCAACATGGTGAAACCCTGTCTCTACAAGAAATACAGAAATTAGCATCACTTATTCAGGAAGCTGAGGTGGGAGAATCACTTGAGCCTGGGAGGTCGAGGCTGCAGTGAGCTGTTGTGATTGTGCTATAGCACTCCAGACTGGGCAACAAAGTGAGACCCCGACTGAAAAAAAAAAATTAGGAAAAACAATATAAAAAGAATTTATAATAGCCCAAAGACAGGGTGACCATAAGCTTTATCATTCCAAACTGGGGCATTTTTGAGAGTGAAAGTAAACATTACTAATAATTATTCTGAGATAAGAACATAAACTGAGGCAGTTATGGATAAAGTGAGCTGTATAGTCATCCTGACCAAAAAATTACTAGATATATGAAAAGTATTGGTAGACCCATTTGTAAAGAGCAGATGAACTAAGAGATTTAAGAAGAAAGAAAAGGAAATCTGTAGCATTTAATTTTCCAATTAAAAATATTTTTTAAAAGGCCGGGCACGGTGGCTCATGCTTGTAATCCCAGCACTTTGGGAAGCTGAGGTGGGTGGATTATCTGAGTTCAGGAGTTCAAGACCAGCCTGGCCAACATGACGAAACCCGTCTCTACTAAAAATACAACAAATTAGCCAGGCGTGGTGGTGGGCGCCTGTAATCCCTGCTACTCAGGAAGCTGAGGTAGGAAAATCACATTAACCTAGGAGGCAGAGGTTGCAATGAGCCGAGATCGCGCCACTGCACTCCAGCCTAGGCAACAAGAGCGAAACTCTGTCTCAAAAAAAATGTATATATGTGTGTATATATATATATACACACATACACACACACACACACACACACCCCTTTAGTGTTAACAAAATATTATTTATATGACTCTTTAAAGTTGCTTTCTTAAAAGATTCAGCATAATGAAACTAAGGCTTCTGGAGGTTAATGATTTTTTGGGACTGTAATGTTAAAAGCAGAACAAGAAATTGAGTAGAGTTGTTTACTTCCTTTTCAACTATTCATTAGAACACTCTTTGAGATGATAATAAGAGTTTTTCAAAAATAAGATTGTTTCAGTTAAGTAAGTTTGGGAAATTCTGTGCTTAATTACATAATTTTTTTTTTTTGAGACAGAGTCTCGCCCTGTCATCCAGGCTGGAGTGAGTGTAGTAGCGTGATCTCGGCTCATTGCAGCCTCCGTCTCCTGGGTTCAAGCGATTCTCCTGTCTCAGCCTCTTGAGTAGCTGTGACTACAGGCAGGCGCCACCATACCTGGCTAAGTTTTGTGTTTTTCGTAGAGGTGGGGTTTCGCCATGTTGGTCAGGGTGGTCTTGAACTCCTGGTCCCAAGTGATCCACCTGTCTCGGCCTCCCAAAGTGCTGGGATTACAGGCGTGAGCCACCATGCCCAGCATAAAAACTTTACATTTTGTAGTAATTTTTATTTAGATAAAAATTACATAAATAGGACATATATTCTTTATCCCAGTTTCCCTTAATATTAAATCTTATATCACCATAGTACAATGATCAAAACCAAGAAATCAACATTGGTACAGTACTATTAACTACAGACTTTATTCAGATTTCACCAGTTTTTTGGCCAATGAACATCTTCTGTTCCTAGATACAATACCAAATCACGTTTAATTGTTGAGTCATCCTACTCTACTTCAATCTGTTACAGTTTCTTAGTTTTGTTTTGTTTTGTTTTGTTTTGTCTTTCACAACTGGTCAGGTGTTTTGTAGATTCTTTCTCATTTGGGGATATGACTGATATTTTATCACGATTAGATGGAGGTTGTGCATTTTTGGCAAGAATACCTCAAGTTATGTGCCCTTCTCAGGGTACCATATCAGGCAACAGGTACACAACACCACACTTGGCTAATTTTTATGTTTTTTGTAGGGATGAGGTCTCACTGTATTGCACAGGCTAGTCTCAGACACCTGTGCTCAAGTGAGCTTCCCTCCTCTGTCTCCCCAACTATTGGGTTTACAGGTGTGGGTTTACAGATGTGAGCCACCATTCCTAGCCCATTTATTCATTTATAACAGTGTGGACTCATGGGTGCTCTATGGGTTATATTCCAATGTTACAATAATTTATATTGCTCAAATTGTTCTATCTTTGTCTATTAGAAGTTCTTTCAAGTTGGCTCCTATGCCCTGTTGGCATACCTTTCTCCCTGAAACCCACTTTGAGCACTCTTTAATTTCTTGCACCAAAAATGCTCCAGGCTTATCTTGTATTTTCTCTGCCGCAACTGTGGAATTGATCAGTTCTCCAAGGAGCCCTGGTTTCTCTCATTAGACTTTATTTTATAACACTACTTTCCAGAAAAAGTGATTTATTTGTCTCTAGCATATTGTACATTCTGGATTCGGATGATTGCTTCTTGTGTCATTTAACTACTTCTCTCCGCATGTTTCTCAAACTTTGCTGCATATTAGCATCAGCTGGGGAGATTTAGGAAATTCACATAGTCAGGTTTTATCCCACATCAGTTAAATTAGAATCTCAAGATTGAACCCAAACATCAGGGGTTTTAAAGTTTCCCAGGTTTCCGGTATGCAGCCAACTTGAAAACCACAGCTGTGTTTCTAGCTCCTTCCCCTTTGCCTGTAGTGGTAGTAAGATCTAGACTAGAGGCTTGAATACGTTCTTGTCCAGGTTTTTTCTTTCTGTTACATCTTGCGAAGATTGAACATTGGATTCAGTTCTCTTCTTGGCTTTAGCGCTGCTCCTTCCATTTGGTGCTAATATATTTTTAACCATGCTCTCTCAGTTCCTCACACTGGCTTCTTGTACCCATTTTCAGGAATCAATCTGGGATTCTCTTCTTGCTACTCTATGATAATATTCATTAATGTGCTTTATTATTTTTATATTGGTGGCTGCGAAATTACCAACACCTCCCTCCAGACACCTTTTTCAGTGCCTCTCCTTTGACCTACAAGGACATCAAGCACAACACATCTAAAATTGAACTAGCCTTCCATCAAACCTGCTTGTCTTTTGTTCTTTTATTCATTCATTCAGCACACATTTATTAATTGTCCGCCATGGACCAGACAATATTCCAGGCACCAAAGACGCAAAGTTGAAAAACAAACTGGCCTCATGGAGATTTTTGCTTAGTGTATTTCCTTCTGCATTACTCATTTCATTAATGGCATTTGAATCTGCCTGGACAGAGGCCTCTTTGTGATAGGCCACTCTTCATTTACAACATCCTCTCAGTTTGCTGCACTTCACTAATTTTTTTTTTTTTTTGAGATGGAGTCTCGCGCTGTGGCCCAGGCTGGAGTGCGGTGTCGCGATCTCGGCTCACTGCAAGCTCCGCCTCCCAGGCTCACGCCATTCTCCTGCCGCATAGCTGGGACTACAGGCACCTGCCACCACGCCTGGCTAATTTTTTATATTTTTAGTAGAGACAGGGTTTCACGGTGTTAGCCAGGATGTTCTCGATTTCCTGACCTCGTGATCCACCGGCCTCACCGCGCCCAGCCCTTCATTGATTCTTTTATGTCCTTCTGAATCTTTAAAACTCAGCAAGGCAACTCTGCCTTTGAGGGAGCTAGTATGGTCTTTAGAGTAATACTAAGTAGAGAGTGAATTCTGAGCCAGCCACTTAGGTCTGTATGCCCCTAAACAGGTGACTAAACCTCACTTTCTCAGCATGTAAAATTGGAATAATGATCACCACCTCTCTGGGTGGTTTGGAAGATTGATGCTGTAACTTGCTCTGCCTCTTCTTGTCCTGTTGAGTAGCATGGCCATCTCTTCAGTTGCAGCATTCCAAAACCTGGATACCCTCCTAGAAACTTCCCTTCCTTTATCCTGCCTTCTCACATCTAGTCATTCATCAAGTCTTACCATTTTTTTTGTTTGTTTGTTTGTTTTTGAGACGGAGTCTTGCTCTGTGGCCCAGGCTGGAGTGCAGTGGCGCGATCTCGGCTCACTGCAAGCTCCGCCTCCCAGGTTCTCGCCATTCTCCTGCCTTAGCCTCCCGAGTAGCTGGGACTACAGGCACCCACCACCATGCCCGGCTAATTTTTTGTATCTTTAGTAGAGACGAGGTTTCACTGTGTTAGCCAGGATGATCTCGATCTCCTGACCCTGTGATCCGCCCGCCTCAGCCTCCCAAAGTGCTGGAATTACAGGCATGAGCCACCGTGCCTGGCCAAGTCTTACCATTTTTTATGTGTAAATATCACTCAGTGATATTTATGTTTAATAGTTTTCAGACCCCCATTTGAAATTACTATTATTTTTTGAGCCAGGGTCTTGCTGTGTCACCCAGGCTGAAAGTGCAGTGCCACAATCAAGGCTCACTGCGGCCTTTTATGTCTGGGCTCAATTGATCCTCCCACCTTAGCCTCCCAACTACCTGGGACTGTAGGCACGTGCCACCACATCTGGCTAATTTTTCTATTTTTTGTTTAGACGGGGTCTTGCTATGTTGCCTAGGCTGGTCCTGTACTCCACCTACCTCAGCCTTCCTAAATGTTGGGATTACAGGCGTGAGCCACTGCACCCAGCTTCAAGCCTTTGTTTTTGCCTCTTCAATTGTAATGGTTTCCTAATTATGAGATCTTTCTATTAGAAGGCTCCTACGTATGATCTTTCTAAAGCCCCTTCAGTTTTTTTCTCTTTGATGCTTTAAACACACTCTAATGGTACCTCATAAAATCCACACTCCATTGCCTGGCAGTTGTTTTCAACATCTTGCTCTGCTTTTTTGTTTTGTTTTGTTTTTTAAATCATCTTATCTCCTGTTACTCTTTTCTAACAACCTGTGCTCGGACTAGGCTTTCCCATGTGTTTCCTAGGTTAACCGTGGTGTTCACATCTTTGCACTTTTGCCGTCTTCTTTCTCTGTACTCTGCCTGACAAACCTCTTGAGCCGTGTTTCAAGGGCCACTTCAGGTCATACGTCCCCTGTGGTGCCTTTCCAGATTTGCTTTAATGTTTCCTTTGTTTCTCACTTTGCCATGTACTTATTTTCTGTTAAGGCATCATTGCATTTATTTCACTGCTTGCATTTGCAACCTTCTTAATGAAAGCAGCATCTTTTACTCATTTTTATCATCTCAAAACCCATTACAGTACTTAGCATATAGCAAATGCTTCTTTTATATCTGATGGACCAATATGTAAAAGTTCCTAGAACAATGATGGGCAGAAAATGAATGTCAGAAAATGCCTTGGTCATTACTCATAATATTTGTGAAGATATTTAGCACATTGTATTTTCCAGTTTTTGTTAATTTCCCTTGCCAGAATAAAGTATAACTCCTTAGTGAGCTGTTCAAAACCCTTTATGCTTCCATCCATCTTTCTAGGCTCATCTCTTGTCATTTCTCTTTCTTCACATCATGTTTCCCATCTTTTCTGATCTGTATCTCTGGCCTTTCTTTTTTGCTGGAAATTACTGTACTAGATACCCACAGTTACTCATGTTCCTAGTGGAGCCACTAAGCAGAAGTAGGTAGAACCACTGCTGAAAAAACCCTGTTTTCTAGTTAGATTGGACTAATTATGATAACGACCTTGAACTTTCAAGACAAAAATTTTCCCTTTTTCTATAGCACTTACTTTTTCATAATGTACTGTACCACTTACTATATTTTACTTTACGTGTTGTATGTCTGTTACCTGCTTAGCATATAAATCCTTTGAAGCAAATACTGTGTTATATTTGTCTTTGAAGCTCCAGCGCCCAGAATATGAAATGTTTCTTGATTTGCATGAGTGGAGTGATATGGGTTGCTCAGAAGAGGTCAGTATTGTCAAGGATATGGGGATGTTTTGAATAGCCATTTGAGAAAGCTGCTCTTGGTAAGAACAGTGGGAGCAGTGGAAACAGTCACAGCAGCCAGCTGCTTCCATGTGTTGAGCACGTCTTATATTTAGGCACTTGACATGTGTTGTTAGCATGTTTAATTGTCACAGCAACTTGATGAGGTTGGTGCAGTAATTTTCCATCTTTAACAGATGTAGAAACTGAGGCACAGAATGGTTAAGTGATTTGCACGATGTTGTGCAGCTTGGGACTGTAGAACTTAAGGTGGTTGTCACTGCTGTGCTTTAATGCCTTCCAGTGGAGCTCGAGGATTGGAAACAGAAGACTGGCCCAGTTAGAGCACCATGAGGGCTCAGTGTACTCCAGTCTTCTCAAGAAACGACTAAATTCTAGTGATCTTCTCTCTGACAGAGTCCAAGATTTATGACAATGGCTGAGGATAATACTTCTTAAAACTGTAATGTGTATGCATGTCACCTGAGGATCTTGTTAACATGCAGATTCTAATTCTATAGGTCTAGGATGGGGCCTCAGAGTCTGCATTTCCAACAAGCTCCTAAGGAATAACAGTGCTGCTTCCCCGTGGACTCCATGTTGCGTGGCAAGAGTTTGGAGGGTTCAGTATGAAATATATTTTACATGGGACCATTAGATTCTCATCTAGAAATTGTAAGAGGTTCTGTATCTTTAATTGGATACGTAATTATGAAGTTGCATGGTATGGAGATGCTGAGACTCTAGGCACTAATTCTTTATCCTGGGTCTTGTATTAGTATCCCCCTAGTAACTATAAAAACTAATGCTTAGGCTGTACTTGACATCAATAAGAATATCCAGTGAATACGTCTTTATATTTTAAAAAAAGTCTTCGGCTGGGCGCGATGGCTCACGTCTGTAATCCCAGCGCTTTGGGAGGCCAAGGCAGGCGGATCACAAGGTCAGGAGATCGAGACCATCCTGGCTAACACAGTGAAACCCTGTCTCTACTAAAAATATACAAAAAAATTAGCTGGGTGTGGTGGCAGGCATTTTAGTCCCAGCTACTCGGGAGGCTGAGGCAGGAGAATGGCGTGAACCTGGGAGGCGGAGCTTGCAGTGAGCTGAGATTGCACCACTGCACTCCAGCCTGGGTGACAGGGCGAGACTCTGTCTCAAAAAAAAAAAGAAAAAGAAAAAAGTCTTCAAGTGATTAGAATGCTCTAAGCAAATAGATTTGTTGATTAAAACTCTTTCTGAACTTAGTCTGCTTCCTTGCATGTTACCAAGTTTGATGTCTATTGAAATAAATTTTGCATCATCAAAGTTCCTGTGCATTGAAACTAATTTAAAATTGCCTTAAAGACATGGCTAGAAGTTAAGCCAATCAGGTTGATCATCATTACAATGTTTTGATTAAGGCTTGTATTATTGGCAGTCTATTGTTCACCTTTCAGGGAATAAGAAAAATACAAATAATGCTTTTCCTTTTTTTCCTCCTGGTGAGACTGTTCTGAGAATTCTTACTGTGCTTTTTTAACCCATTTTCTTTCTCTTTCTAACAGGGATTTTTTGCCAGGTGGTAGGAGAGATTATACAGTCCAAGTTCAGTTGAGGTGAGTTTGAAATTTTCTGTTACCTTAGTTTTATACTTGCTTACTATATGCATGTAGTTCTGAGTTTTAAAACATATGAGAATGTTTGAGCACGCTATTTAAGAATACTTTTTTTCTTTTATTAATGCAGACTTTGCCTGGCAGAGACAAGTTGCCCTCAAGAAGATAACTATCCAAATAGTCTATGTATAAAAGTAAATGGGAAGCTATTTCCTTTGCCTGTAAGTTGCTTTTTATTCACCAGATTTGCATATAAGTTTAATATAAACACTGACAAGGCCTAGAAACAGTGACAACTGAATACAAGTGAACAGTTTTAGCATCTAGATTAAATACTATTTTCCACTAGAGTAACCCATTGCCTTCTTGGATAAATAATAAATGGCTTATTCAGGTCTGAAGGAGATGGAAAAGATGAGCCTGGAATATCTTTTTTGTTTTTTTTTTTTTTTATAGAGACAGGGTTCTGCTATGTTCCCCAGGCTTGACTTGAACTCATAGGCTCCAGCAGTCCTCCCACCTCAGCCTCCTAAGTAGTGGGGACTACACTTGTGCACCATTGCTCCTGACTAGAGCCTGGAGCATCCTACTTAAGAAATCAAGGACGCTGTGAAATACTCTTGGGATTATATCAAACAGCATAGTTGAAGGGAAGGACTTGGGCATTTTCATGTATAGGACAGCATGTGTGGGATGTCTAGATTAGATGGGCCTGCCTGTGGATGGCTTTTGGAAAAGCAGAGGCTGCTGAGAGTGGCTAACTACAGAGATCAAGAATTCCCAGCTTGGGCCTTGATGATGCATTCACTTGTGGTGGGTGGGTGCAATGATTGTTGGGTGACAACACATTTAAGCAGTGAGAGAGTACGTGGGCTTCAGCACCTAGGATGTATACAATGTAAATGCATACAGCCTGTCTCTGGCCTAATAGATGGCTTTTAACTGTTCAAATCCTGATAGTCAAGTCTTAAAATAATAAAATAAAAAACGTAGAACTGGACTATGTATTGGTTTCCATTTGGATACATTACTAAATTGGTACCATTCCTTAGGAAGGCCAGCAAAACCATAATCAAAAAAATAGTACAACATGGCATGTTTGTCAAGCATTACAAAATTGGAGGTGTGTTTACTGTAAGTGAATCCCTAAGAGAGCAGTGACTCATGACTAGCCCCAGTTGTCATTTCACCAGAGCTGACACTCTGCAACTATTGAGGAAATGGGGAAGCTGTGTAATATCCCTGCTAAACACGAGACTGGGCTCTAGACTAAATATATGAGCAATACTCATGAGTAGCCAAGCAGGTCAGACAATATGATCTAGGACTCTGGGCTGTACAGAGCCAAGTGCTAAGAGTTGAGCCCCAAAGTGAAGAAAGTCCATGACTGAAACTGACCCTGGTCTTGTAGACAGAGGCATCTGACTTCTCTTGGTTGTCAGGAGGCTCATTTGTCACATACACAGCCTGTGGACTTAGAGACCTGAGAAATACTTGTTTTGTGAATTTTGAAGGGCTTAAGCAACACTGCATCACTGACTGACTCTTTTTGAAAGATGCATATGAAACAAATCCATTGAGACAGTCCCGGGAGTGAAGGGGGATTGCAGAGGCTGAGTAGGTATGGTCAGGGAGGATTGCTTACGTGGCCCATATATGTTTCCCCAGGTGGGACATTTATTTTGTCAGGTTTCCGGCTACTAGCAACCAGATTCTCAGAAGCTATCTTTTTTTTCCGCTCACCTCCCACCCCCACCCAAGGTAAGAGTCTTGCTGTGTCACCCATGCTGGAGTGCAGTGGTGTAATCTCGGCTCACTGCAACCTCTGCCTCCCGGGTTCAGGCAGTTCTCCAGCCTTAGCCTTCCGAGTAGCTGGGATTACAGGTGCCCACCACCACACCTGGCTGATTTTTGTAATTTTAGTAGAGACAGGGTTTCACCATGTTGGCTGGCTGGTCTCGAACTCCTGACCTTGTGATCTGCCTGCCTCGGCCTCCCAAAGTGCTGGGATTAGAGGCATGAGCCACCGTGTCTGGCCATTATCTTTTATTTGGCTAGTTTGCACAAAGATCTGAACCAAGGGAAGAAGCAGCCCTACTTAGAGCTGAAAGAAAATGTGGCACATATACACCATGGAATACTATGCAGCCATAAAAAAGGATGAGTTCATGTCCTTTGTAGGGACATGGATGCAACTGGAAACCATCATTCTCAGCAAACTATCGCAAGAACAGAAAACCAAACACCGCATGTTCTCACTCATAGGTGAGAATTGAACAATGAGAACACTTGGACACAGGAAGGGGAACATCACACACCAGGGCCTGTTGTGGGGTAGCGGGAGAGGGGAGGGATAGCATTAGGAGATACACCTAATGTAAATGGATGACGAGTTAATGGGTGCAGCACACCAACATGGCACATGTATACATATGTAACAAACCTGCACGTTGTGCACATGTACCCTAGAACATAAAGTATAATTTAAAAAAATTATGTGAAAAAAATGAAATGAAAAAAAAAAGATACTGCATGTGTGGCAAAGAAAGCCTGGCAAAACAGATTAAAACACATCCCTGTGCACCTGTCCCATGGCCTTTTCATATTCATTTTTCTTTGCCTTGGATGTGCTAAGATTTCATTTTTTCTTTTCTTTAATTAAAAAAAAAAAAAAAAAAAAGGAAGGCTCTCAGGTCTGTTGCCCAGTCTGGAGTGCATTAGTGTAGTCTCGGCTCACTCTGTACTCTCAGCCTCCTAGAGGCTCAAGCGATTCTCCCATCTCACTCTCCTTAGTAGCTGGGACTACAAGCATGTGCCACCATGCCTGGCAAATTTTTGTATTTTTTGTAGAGACAGGGCTTCGCCATGTTTCCCAGGCTGGTCTTGACCTCCTGGGCTCAAGTGATCCACCTGTGTTGGCCTCCCAAGGTGTTGGGATTACAGGTGTGAGCCACTGCGCTTGGCTGCTAAGATTTCTTTGACCTTTGACTCTCATTGCTATTTGCCCCTCCCATTATCGATGATGAAAAATAAGACAACGGACGGCTTCTTGGTATCTTTGGACTCACCTTAAAGACTTACCCTGTATCATCATGTGACTGTGCCAGTGATGGGAGCTGCATCTGAAACTCTGGCATTGCTATGGAAAATATGGTGGCTACAGATGTGTAAACATAGAAGTTACCAGAATTTCCAAATGGACCAGTCATTGTCACATTTTGGGATGATACCTTTCTGTAGGTCTACAGCACCACTGAGGATGGCTTAGAGTTTGTTACTTCCAGTTCTTTAGAGTGAGAAGAAATTAGGCAGTTGAGTACTTCCTCTGGGACATTGTTGCTTAATTACTGCTGATTTCTGCCCCAAAGCACCCACTAACCCTTGATTACTTGTATTAGCCTATTTATGAACATATTGACTACTACAGAAAACACCCTTTGTCTAATGAGTCTGTCATGCCTGGAGCCAGGGGCCTGCAGCAGCTCCATGGGCAGTTGTGAAAGAAGAGAAGAAATGGAGCATTGAGAGAACAGCAAAGATATATCTCAAAAACAGAAGGCAATGGGGAGGACTTGCCTGACCCTTGTAGGGCCATCCCAAAGAAAATGAAATGCCTGCCTTTCCCAAAGAGTCTTTTTACCCTAGCTCCGTAAAGTCCTGTAGAACAACTGACAGAAATTCGCATCTGATGGAAAACATCTTAAACCACCACTTGATCCACAATTGCTATTGATTGGGATAATGAAATATGGAGTCTTTTTTAATGTAAAACAAGATTCTGCAGTTTTTAAGAATTACATGAGTATGCTGCAGCCTCAGAAGAAGAAAGCTGCTGTGGCCCTATAGGAGTTATATTGAGCTCTTGCACCATGGAGAGCCTCAGGGACTTTGTTCCAGTTTTAAGAAGCATCAACAAGCCACAAAAGAAGTTTGATAGGTGGTCCTTGCCCATGATCCTGGTGTATTGAACCACGAATCCTGGAGGAAAAAGCTTGAGACAGTCATGAATTGCCCATTAGAGCCCTGAATATGGTTGCATTTGTCTATGTCCTGGAGGAAGTCCTTATGTGTATGATCTTACGGTAACATCCAGTCTTTATGGACCCGTGGCAGTTGACCACTGTACTGCATGTACAAAGTAAACATAGGAATGGGAAATGGTATTACTTTGAAAATGGCAGCGTGTCCCTAGACTGTTAAGGATCAAATAGTGATACAAGCAGCATATGTGCTTTTTAACCTACATCAAGATGCTTTTACAAAACACCTTCATACATTCATTTTCCAGGTTCCCTTGGTGCAAGGAAGACAGCATCTCATAGTAGGGCTTGTGGGATGGTGACATGCAGTGTGGACAAGAACCTGCTGCAGAGACCATCTCCCATCTTTGACTCCAAGGGCTGCTATTCTACAGACTGACAGCCAGATGAGAACATTCCATGTTTTTAATGGGCAGAAGAAAGAAAAAGGCCCTCTTTGCTTAGGAGTTATTTTAAGAAGCTGAATTATTTTTCTTCTAAACAATTTGTGAGAAATGTCTATAAAACTTGTGTAGCTCTAAAGTTGAAGGAAGGAAGAAGGGTTGACAAGAATATTTCTTTGAAAGACCCAAAGAGTGTAGAGAGGATATGTGCTGTACTTCAGCTGGCAACAATCTCCAAGTAGTTCCTTTTGGTGCAGCCAGAAGACTTATCAGTACTGGCCCCCTTCTTATAAATTCTATTTCTGAGCTCATGGATTTATGTTTCCTGATGCTGTGTGTTAGTCACCCTGATGGCCTGCCTCACAGTGAATCAGGACTGACGTAAACTCAACATTTCTTCTTTTAAAACACATACTTGTGTGCACTCACCCCAATTTGAAGAGGCACCTCCTTACCTGAGAAGTGATAATTTTGACATCTGAAAGAATAATGATTATAGTAGACTCAAAACTATCAAATATGTGTGTTTATAATAATTATACTAAAATAAGCCACTGGAGGTTGCACTAACACACTGCTCTGAAGATTTAAGGAAGAGAATCATTTATTTCAAGGTGACCGGCTGTTGATTTGGTCAAGCTCTTTATGGAAATATTTTGGCTAATACAATCAAAAGGGTAATAGAATTAGAAAATCATTATTCCACAATTCATAATCATATAATGGGTCTAGGTAGCTATCATCAATGGATGCCAAAACTTGACGGGGAACTTTATAGTGGAGGGATCAGGCTGACATCCCCTGAACTCCTAATCAGTCTTGACACCACTGAAAACAGGGCAAACAACCTTCTGTGCATTATGATGTGGTACCATATGAAGTATGCAACATTTTCTCTGAAGTTTTTTGTTTCTAAAATTTTGACCCCAAGTTTAATCAAGCTTATACAACTAATTAGTGGTTTTAAAAATATATGGGAGATAGAGCAACAAATCTCATACTTCGAGGAAGCAAAATACCTAATCTAAAATGCGAAGTCGTTCTTCAGGTCGAAAGTCCTGGTTTCTCCAGTAGAACAACAGCATTGGGGAAAAAGTGTGTGTTTGGAGACGGCAGGGGTTGTGTTTATAGAATAAACGAGACTTCAGAGACATAACTAAGTGTGGTGTGGGGCTCTAGTTTTTAATTCTGATTCAAGCCGTAAAAGGACTATACTAAACTACATATGGAGAAAATAGAAAATATATCTGAGATTTGCTTTAAAATAATCTGGAGTGGGGGTTGGGTACAGTAGGTAAAGATTGTTCATGGGTAAGTAAATTACTGAACTGATAGATATATACGTGTTATACTTTTTTCTCTATTTTTGTATATGTTTAAAATTTTCAATAATAAAAGGATGAAAGGAAAATAAATTTTGAGGCACCTGGGAAATCTGAATCGAAAGACAAGGTATTAGGTGATTTTTTAAAACTTGTTATTTTTGTGGGGTTGTAATACTGTAGGTTTTTAAAGTCTTATTAGAGATCCATGTTGAATATCTGGGTTAAATGGCATGTCTAGAATTTGAGTTTAAATACTCAAGGGCAAAAAGAAATGTGTATTTTTGTGGCGTGTGTGTTTTAGGGCAGATTGGCTTTGGGGCCAAAAGCATTTGAAACAAGATTGGCAATGTGGATAATTATTGAACCTGGTTGGTGGGTCCCTGCTGTTTGTACCTTTCTTGTGTATGTTTGAAAATTTCCATAAAGTTAAAAAGTAAATCTGTGTTAGAAGTATTCAAGTAGTAGTGATAATTAGAAAATTTGGAGGAAAACGTTAAAGTAGAATAATTGTGGACAACTTTTGTCACAGTTGCAAGTAGGGTAGGGTGTCATCAGAGCATGAAACATAAAAAATTATTTGAGTGTGTCACAGGACCACCACAAAGTCTTCCGCTGGTGCTGTCCAGCAGCCTTTGCTTAGAAAGCTTGCAGATTTGCCCCACTGGTTCCCTGTCACATGAACTTGACTTTATTTTTGCTTTAAATATGGAAAACTGTTAGAAATATGTGTGAAGGCTAAACTTTATATTTTATAAAATTCCAACTATTAATATATTCTCAATAACCAGGAAATTGATGGTTGGGTAGGGGTGGTGCTGATGGTTAGAGGTAGAATACAGGTTATCATATAACTCAGAATTACCAGTAAAGTCACACTACTCAAATGGGATATAGAATAGATTGAAAACGCTTTACACTGAGTGAGACTAACATGATTCTGAGTTTGCTGACACTTCATTCTTACATGAGTGTCACTCTTCCTGCTTCTGTTGCCCTTTTCTACTGTGTCAGGCTGTGTTATGTCTTAAATTCTAATTTCCAGAGTGCACATTTTAGTTCATGAGTTATTTTTATCCTCCTGACAGACCCTGTATCATTTTTATTTGGTTAACCTACTAGTGGACATACCAGCAGACAGAATTATCTTCCAGGCCCAAAACAGGCAAAACAAAAGTTTCATTCAGAATTACCTAGATACTGGTGTTGATATTCCTTGTACTTGTTGCTCATTGAATCAACTTCTTGAGTCTTTTTAAGAGGACTTTTCTTAGGAGTTTTTTTTTTTTTTTCTTTTTCTGAGCAACTTTTTTTTTTTTTTTTCGCTTGAGCAACTTAAGATGGGCATAACCTTCATAAACACACACTCTCTCTCGCACACACACACACTCACACACACTGTCTCTCTCTCTTTCATTTCTGTATTCTAGTGCAAGTTATTTAAGTTCTTCTCTTTGTCTTTTACTCCCCTGCTCAAACATTTTTAATTACTTTCAAAATTTTTTGCAAGTTATAGATTACACATTATCATGTGGACTACCATTTAATAATTACTGTCTTGCCCCTTATGAGACAGTTCCCAAGTTGTGGTAGTCAGGGTGTGGTCCTCTTTGCCATGTGATACTACCAGTACTAGTTTTCATTGGTCCTAAGGTGCATATTTTAGCATTGCTGAAATCCAGAAGTGTCTTAAAATTGCTGGTGACCAGGTGTCAGCTGTGATGTATTATCATTGTCTGCACTTGTACAACTTTGGTGTTATTGCCATGGCGTGACTAGTTAGCTGTACTCCTGGCTTTTCAGTTAACAAATAATTTAAGGACATTTTGAGAAAGAAGCATGAATGCTGGCTGTTGTCTGAAAACTTTTCACTGATGGATTCTCATAAGATCCAGATTGTATCCCCATTAACACATCCAGTTAATGGTGTCAGTGACTTGCAGAGAAATCTGAGACATTAGTGGAATGAAATACAGTTTTAAAAGATACTTTTTTCTCTGAAATTCCTGCTTGTGCATAGGGGAGTGTTATGTGGAAAAATGTATGGATTAATGGTGGAGTGAAAAGTGATTCAGAAGATTCTTATGTCCAAAAGGGAATATGTTAATTCATTTTGCTTCCATTTCTTTGCCATATATACATAGTATTTTCTTTCTCAATAGTACATAATTAAATTACATCAATGACATCCTAGCGTCAGTGAAATATGGTATCTACTTTTCAATATGTAGATTTTTTGCAGCTAAGATATTTTAATTTTCTAAAAAATACATTATTTTGGCTCTGAAAAATCAGAGTGAAGTCTTGTGGTAATTGGGAATTGGATACACTGCGAATCAGAAATGAGTATACTTGCTATTTAAAACAAATGGTTGATGACTAGATAAAAGTAGATTAAAGCATAAATAGCAGTGTTATCTGATAGCCATCAAGCTCATTTAATGACAGTTGAAATGCTGATTATCCTTATTTGTTAACTTGACCTGGGTTAAAAGATTACCATTTCTGTTCCACCCAGAGAAAATGCAGTGGAAAATATTTTTATCACTCACCAAATTTTAAAAATGAAATTCGTTAGTTTGTTCTTTCTTTCCCCTCAATTCCCAGTTTGCTTTCTTTCTTTCCCACCCCGAATATATGCATGTATTTGAAATGGGGATTGCTAAGGATGAATCATTATAAAAAGTTGTGACTTTATCTGTAAAGCTTGGTGTCCTATGAAAAAGGAAAACGATTCATAGCCAATGTGGCAAGATGTCAGCATCTTTAATTTTAATGATGGGACATGGATTTTTTTCCTACCTTTCTGGACTTGTGAAATATTTTGTAACTTTTTTTCAAAGGTTGTTTTCCTGTTTTGGGTTGATAATGATAATAAGGGCTATATGATTTTTAGGCTAAAATAAAAATAGTGTAACTGAAATTGGGCAGGATCCTGTATCTATCTTGGAGAAAATGTTTAATCTTCCTGCAGATAATTTGAAATAATTTTTCTTTCTTATGGTTATAGGGCTACGCACCACCGCCTAAAAATGGGATTGAACAGAAGCGCCCTGGACGCCCCTTGAATATTACATCTTTAGTTAGGTTATCTTCAGCTGTGCCAAACCAAATATCCATTTCTTGGGCATCAGAAATTGGGAAGGTAAAAGCTCTCCATTTTGGGTAGCAGGACAGTGACCCCACTGGGGGTTGACTTACTGTGTTTTTTCTTAAGCTGTTGGCTTCAGCTCTTTTTGTTTGTGGATTGTAATCTCTAAAAAGCAGTAATTTTCAGTTCAGAGGCGGCAGTATGGAGATTCTTAAAGTTAAAAACTTTAGCTCTGAGTTTTCTTGAATATCGTCTCTTTATTTTCCTGGAAAGAAAATATGCATATTTATATTTCTTAAGGTAATGGTTTAACCGCAATTGTATGTAATGTTGTGTTGAGTATTTTAATAAACTAGAAGCTTTGGATGATAAATATTTGTGAAGAGAACAAGGAAAGTTTTATCAGTTTGGGGGAGAAATGGTTAAATGTACACATGTTGTGATTAGAAATAATCTGTTCTAACCTTTATATAAACAACTGATATTTCAGATAATCTGTGAGCATTTGTATAAAAAGATTTATTTAGAATTATAATATTTTCTCTTCACCTTCAAGTTGATGAACTTGACTTTCGGCTGATTTTTGGTCTTATAATGAATTATGTCAATTATGAGATAGCAGTTAATACAACAAGGAATTTACATTTTAGAATTACTTGTTTATATAACTGAAATAATGAATGGAAAGGAGATTTCAGTTAATTTCTGACCATCAGCTTCAGTGTTAATATTACATGAAGCATCAATTTCAGTGTTCCTATTACATGTTCCTAAACAGAATAATACTCCTGTTTTATGGATGGAGAAATTGAGTCGTTATTTATAGCAGGAATTTTTTGTTTTGCCACCAAGGTAATTGCAGAGCTGGGAGTAACTTTACAGACATTGGAATAAATGATTGTAGACATTGAAAACTTTTGCCATGTAATGGGGATAATACTCTTTCCTTATAATTAAAATGATTAATTGACCTAAAATTTACACCATAAATTGGGTATTTAGATATTTAAAAGAACATTAAAAAATATTTAAAATACTTGGTTTGGCAACTATTGAAAGTATTATGTTTATTGTAGAATCAATTGAATGAATATATTTAATAAAATGGGAAGATAGGGGATTTTTTAGCATTTATGTGAAATTATATTTTATCTCTTCATAGCTCTATAAATAGCTAATGAAGGTTCCTTTGTGCCAGATCTAACAGGTATGGGATTGGACACTTGTTTTCTGGCCTTGACTTTTTAATTTTTATCATATCTTCATGTGTCTTACATATTATAGTAGCTGCTGCTTGTCAGTAAAATACCCATTTGGGGTACAGGAGTTAATTTATCAAAGCTTTTCTCAGAAGAAAGCTGCTGCCTGGTTCATTTGAGTGATTTACTCAAAGGCCATGTAGCAGGTGGTCTCTTCTGCCAGAATTAGAACTTTGGAACTCTGGGTTTGCAGTGTTAATTCAGACCACTGGCATTTGAAATTTGTTTCTGCAGTGGAACTCCTCTTTTAAGTGAAAATATGAGAGCCCCATTACATAAAGTCAATAAAAGTAGAATGATTTTGGTTAGCAAGATTCTGGTTAGTCATAGGAGGGTACATTTTCAGGGTGTCCCCTAAGGTACCAGTTTTGCTAAGTAAGAACCATAGTTTGGAAACCATTGACCCAACCTATGTTCCTATAGCAGCGAATATTTTAAAGTGATAAATGATCAAGAAATAGTTTTAAATGATTGAGCTTTTATTTTCGCTGAAATAGCTTGGTGAATTTTGTCCCCTTTGCAGTCATTGACCATTCCATAGAAGTTATTTTGAATGTTATTTTTAGAAACCAGAGTTTCTTAAATAAGTATGTCATGTAAACAAAGAGAATATTATCTCTCATCTTTAATGCAAGGTTTTTTTTGTTTGTTTGTAGAATTACTCCATGTCTGTATATCTTGTACGGCAGCTTACATCAGCCATGTTATTACAGAGATTAAAAATGAAAGGTATTAGAAACCCTGATCATTCCAGAGCACTAAGTAAGTAATGTTTATAAGACCAACCATTTAAAAAAAAAAAAAAAAAAAAGATTGAGCATATGAGATGCTTTAATGCTTTAAATATTGCTCACATCAATATATTATATATTTGTTAGCTTGTGTATATACTAATTTATATACATTACTGGTGAGTAAAATTGTAGATATTACCACATAGTAGTTTTTAATTATCAAAGGAAGTATAAGAATATTTTTATATTTTCTGTTTACAAATTTAGTAATTGTTGGAAACAAACAATAGTGCATAATAAAAACTGTGATGAATGTGTGTTGGAAAAGCTTTGAAGCTCAGGGTACTGCTGCATTCCAGCTTCCTCTCCTAATTGTTGTTTTGTTCTTAAGTCTTACACAGCTTTCTATTTTGAAAGTCTTGCTTACCAGCAGTTTTAAAAAGAAATTTTAAGAATTTAAACAAAGAATTTGCATGTTCATAATTATTTAAGTTACATTGGGAGTGTGATTGTGTTTTCAATACATTAATATTTAACATTTTGTTTTAAGATGCTATATATTTCTATAATTCCATTTCTTTGCCACCCTTAATTTTTTTTAATTTTATTTTTTTTCTCTTCTCTTTAAAGTTAAAGAAAAACTTACTGCAGATCCTGATAGTGAAATTGCTACAACTAGCCTTCGGGTATCCTTGATGTGCCCTGTAAGTAAAGCAACAAAACATTCTAGGGAATTTGACTTTTTATAAATGATTAACTTTCCTATAAAAGTAAGTGTGGGAATGAATGATATATTATGATAGAATTCTGAACTTTTGTCTTTTCCCATTAAGGAATCTTCATGATTAAGTCACAATGCTTTGTATTATTTGGGCATGCAAAGAATACAAAGAAGAGGGAAGATAGCTTTAGGCTTAGAATAATCTGTTGTAATTAATGTTGTAGATAATACACAGCTATAAATAAAAATATTTTAAGAGCTGACTCCTTTTATAAGAATATAAATGATACTGAAAAATAAAGTGACTGGGGCCTGATAAATGCTAATTGATGCTCTTGGTTTAGTGAGTTAGGATGCGTAGGATGTCTTTGTAGTGGTCTTTTAAATTGCACAATAATTTTTCTTTTATATCTCCTTACATAGAAAGTATGAGGGAGAAATCAGTTAGCAACTCTCACATCGTCCTGTTTACTTGCCACTGAGCTAATTGTGGGAGAAAATATTGAGGCTTGCTTAGAATGTTAATAATTGAGTTTGAAAAATAAAACCCACTCCCATAAAAATGGAGCAGACTTCACTTACAGTTAGGCTGTTATACTACCAAGAGGAGATGGGAGGATCAGGAACATTGAATGAATTGGAGGGGAACCCTTTCCAGTTAAGAAGAACTTGGTGAGAAAAGTCATGGAATCAGGAATTTATAATGTAATTTTGTGGGCGTTTGATGACTACCCACCATTTTGAGAAATGTACAGTTTTTTAAATGGGGAGAAATTGTGTCAGAAAGAAAAGAGAATAATTTGTTGAGTTTCTACTGTATGTTCTTTATTTAACTATCTTAGCAAACCTGTGTGGAGGAGTTGTCTTCATTTTGTAGATGAAGAAACTGAGACTGAACGAGGTTGGCTAACCCAAATTACAGTTAGTGGTAGAACAAGGATAAAGATTCTGTTCTGACATTCCTGTTCTCTTTCCAATATACCATGCTGCCAGATTGGGCTAAAATATACATGTCCTGATTACAAGTACGTCTCTTTTATTCTGGAAAGTGGTATATGCAAATCTTTTTTTGAAGCATCACTCTTTTAATCTTCATTAACTTAAAAATATGAGCTTGCCTTCATTGAAATAGAATTTTTTGATATCAGGATTGCTTGGATACTGGGAATGTGCTCTTGTCAAACGCAGGGAAGAGGTGTGCAGTTCCAGTAGGGTAGGACCTGAAAGCCCTGAAGGTGGTGGCAGAGGCTCTAGGAGGCATGCGGAAGGACCCACGACTTCCTCTGAGCTCAAGTTCTATGCAAACCTTCAGGCTTGAGTTCTTTTCAGTGTCTTCAGGTTATTCTCTTTTTCTACGCTCTCATGTTAACATTAAAATTAATAGTAGATTGAAAGAAGTGAAATTACCTTTTTGTTGGTTAAAAAATGGTTGGATATTGACCCTTTTTTATTATGTAACCCTAGTATATTCAGCAAACATTAATTCCCAGCTGTATTCCACATACAGTCACCATATGGGGAGGAAACTCATGTCACCATTATGTTTTAGATGTCAAACTATTGTATCAGGAAGAAAGTCTTCTACACAACTTACCTAAGGAGTTTTACAGTTATGCAGTGCCATTTTCTTAGAATCTTTTAATTTTTTTTTTTTTTCATACAGACTGCCATTCTACATGAGAGCAACCAAAACCAAATGCAATGGCTAAACATACTAACGGATTCTCAGACTTTTTAAATTTTTTTGACACAGGGTCTCTCTCTGTCACCCATGCTAGAACATAGTGGCATGATCACGGCTCACTGCAGCTTTGACCTCCTGGGTTCAAGTGATCTTCCCATCTCATCCTCCTGAGTACCAGGGACTACCGCCACATACCACCACACCTGGCTAATTTTGGTGTCTTTTGTAGAGATCTTTCACCATGTTGCTCAGGCTGGTCTCAAACTCCTGACCTCAAGTGATCTGCCCACCATGACCTCCCAAAGTGCTGGGATTACAGGCAAAGGCCATCTCATGAGCCAAACTTTCAATAATAGTGAAAGCAGCATATCAGAGAGGTTAGGATTCCTTCTGTGTAAGAATAGAGAGCGGTTCCTTTCAAACATTACCAATTTTAAGAAAATTAACTTTTCAGTTACTTGAAGAAATGAAGTAACAGATCAAATAGGTTTTTGAAATCTTGTTTTAAGTTTCTTAAGTGTTTTTTTCTCTCTGCTCAGAAGTGACAACAGGTCTATTTGTGAGACTGTCTTTTGAGCTTTTCCTCAGGGTTCGTCGATCTTTTCAGAGCACTTTCTAAGAAAAAAATAAATGGTACTCTTTGGGCTATAGTGGTAGTATTTTTTTTTTTTATTTTTATTTTTTTTTGAGATGGAGTCTCGCTGTGTCTCCCAGGCTGGAGTGCAGTGGCGTGATCTCGGCTCACTGCAAGCTCCGCCGCCCGGGTTCACGCCATTCTCCCGCCTCAGCCTCCCAAGTAGCTGAGACTACAGGCACCCGCCACCACGCCCGGCTAGTTTTTTGTATTTTTAGTAGAGATGGGGTTTCACCATGTTAGCCAGGATAGTCTCGATCTCCTGACCTCGTGATCCACCCGCCTCGGCCTCCCAAAGTGCTGGGATTACAGGCTTGAGCCACCGCGCCCGGCCTAGTGGTAGTATTAACATAAAGTTGGGTAGCTAAACTGTAATATGTGGTATATATTAATTAGACTACCAGACACAAGTGTGTTGATTAGATTTGGTGGATGGATGACAGAAGTTAGATGATGAAAGCAGTGTTTGAGAGAGTCAGTCCTATTATTAGTTGGAAAAAGCAGAATGGAGTCCAGCTGGCTAACAATGGAGATAACATGGGATCTGCTGCAGTAATGGGAAATGGAGAAGGAAAAAAATAAACCCCAGGCACTTGGATAAGAAGTGAACCCTGGGTTATTTGGCAAAAACAAGAGAAAATAATAATGTAGGGTTATAGAATAAATGTTTATTACATTTCACAATATTTTCGTAAGGTGATTTGCAGTAGAAGTGAGTCCTGAATAGTGGGAGCGAATTCTAAAACCTCTGTCCTTGGGACTAAAGGAAGGTAATGTCACAGTAGTTATTGAAGAGTATCTAATTGAGTGTGCATAATTATATTTCTGAACACAATATCTGAATTTTACATAGGAGTTTCACTTTGGTGATTTCAGCTAGTGATTTTCTGTCTGTCCTGCGGAGGTGGGCTGAGTAGCTGAGAGAGAGAAAAAGAAAGCAAGCTAGGTTTGATTTTTATCTCTTGAGATTCTAATATGTTTAAAAAAAAAAAAAGTCCTGCTGAAAATAGTTGGAAACCACCGGTTTGGGCCTTTTCAACTTGAAAACTCTCTTACTTTAGATTGGTAGTAATTACTCTACAGTGAATAGAATTTGGATAATGCCAGCTTAACATTTTATAGGAAAAAAGTGTTGCATTACTTAGATACCACTTCATTCATAAAAATAATAAATTTCAAAAAAGCACCTTCATCTGGTTAAATTAGAATTAGAATTTATTTTGATGGCACATTCAGGTCCTTTTTAGTAACATTCCATAGTCACTAGGAAATTGACAAAATTTTGCTAGCTAGTAACAAATGCCTTCTTAGGAAATGCTCATTAGTTCTTATAAGACAACTAGAGTAGGATTAAATTTAGGGTCAACAACTTTTATAGTCCTGGATATTCTCATTTCTGTATGCTGTGGAAATTTTAAGGCTGACAGGAGAGATGGAAACGGCACAGAAGAAAACGACAAAAACAGTCCCTAAGCAGCGGTTTGCAAAATGTGGCCCATGGATACCTGAAGGTCCCTGACACTCTTTGAAGAGGACTACAAAGTTAAAACTTTTTATAATAATATTGACACATAATTTTGGCTTTTTGTGTTTTTTCTCTCTTATGAGCATAAAGTGATGTTTAATGTGGGTTAGCTGATAGATGATGATGATGTCGTTGCTCTGATGGCTAATGGTATGTTTTACTTGTGTACTCTTGTCTTTTAAAAATATGTTTTAATTTCTAATATACAGATATTGATAACTATAGCCCACATACATAAAACATCTTTGATGTCTTAATTTTTTTTTTCTTTCTCTTTTTTTTCTTTTTTTTTTTTTTTTGAGACGGAGTCTTGCTGTGTCGCCCAGGCTGAAGTGCTGTGGCACCATCTCAGCTCACTGCAACTTCCACCGCCCGGGTTTAAGCAGTTCTCCTGCCTCAGCCTCCCAGGTAGCTGAGATTACAGGCGCCTGCCACCATGCTTGGCTAATTTTTGTATTGTTAGTAGAGACGGGGTTTCACCATGTTGGCCAGGCTGGTCTCGAACTTTTGACCTCGTGATCCACCCTCTTCGGCTTCCCAAAATGCTGGAATTACAGGCGTGAACGCCTGCGCCCGGCCTTTTTTGTTTTTTGTTTTTTTGAGACAGAGTTTCGCTCTTGTCGCCCAGGCTGGAGTGCAGTGGCGTGATCTCGGCTTACTGCAACGTCTGCCTCCCAGGTTCAAGCAATTCTCCTGCCTCAGTCTCCCAAGTAGCTGGGATTACAGGGGCCCACCACCACGCCCAGCTAATTTTTGTATTTTTAGTAAAGATTGAGTTTCACCATGTTGACTGGGCTGGTCTCGAGCTCCTGACCTCAGGTGATCCACCCGCTTCGGCCTACCACAGTGCTAGGATTACAGGGGTGAGCCACTGTGCCTGGCCAAGGTCTTAATTTTTAAGCGTCCAAAGGGGTTTTGAAACCAAATGAGAACAGATAACTGTTAAAACCGTGGTAGGGAGTTAGAACGTTATTTTAAAGAAAAAATTATAAAAATTGACAAATAATACTTTTAAATTATTCAAATAGAGCTGAAAAGTAAAAATGATAATTTTAAATTTGCAAGGTCTATTATTCAGAAGTAACATTACTAGTAGCATGATAGATTTTTCTAGATGTAATTCTCTATATAATTATCTGTATGTTTATTGGAAAATATATACTGTCCTATGGCTTGCTGTTTTTTAATTCACAGTGTATCTTAAGTATATTAATATGTGTAGATTGGTCTTATTTTAATCATTGTGGGCATTTTGTTGAGTAGGCATAGTGTAATTTAATAACGAGTTCAGTGATTGAGTTGTTTCCACACAGTGATTGTGCAAAAAAGCCAACTCACTTACATTGGTGGAAACTTTCTAAATAACCAGCCAATGTTTATGTTGGTACTATTTAAAAAGAATAACATGTGATTTAAAAAAAGGATAATAGGAAAATCTATTAAAATTATTCATCTTATCATTGAAAGGATTTAAAAAACCTGTTATTGGGTGCTGAATAGGTATTTAATCAACATTCATTTTTAATAGAACAAAAACTTAGCAAAAGAGGAAAAGGAGGGTAATTAAATTAAAAAACTAACACCATTTGTAATGTTATAAAACTGGGATGTCTCTGGAATGTGAGGACCATTTGTGATATAGCTCTATCAGCTGTGTCTCAGTGAGTGTGTGGTTTTAACCTTTTGTAGCTTCAGCATCTTCATTTCAGAAATAGAAATATAGATACCAGCTTTTCTGGAGTCATAGAGTTATGAAGATTTTATGAGATTTATATAAAAGCCTTGGGCATACTGTAAGAGTCTGTTTAAGAAATAATTTGTTTTTAAAGGCAGGAAAAATATAGAAAGATGTCTGATAAGAAGAGAAACTGCCTCAGGTTTTATTCCGACCTTTTTCTGTTCTAAGTGATGAGTTATATTGTGCCACATACCTTGATCAAATCACAGAAATTTCGAAGATCCCTTTTAGAACTCTGGTTAGACACTTAGGTAGAGACAGTATAGCAGTGATGAGAGTGTGGACTCTGCAGGGCTGGAGCTTCCCAGGTCAGACCTGCTCTGCCATTTTCTAACTTTGTAGTGTTAGGTTACTTAGCTTCTTTGTACCTTAGTTTCCTTATTTATAAAATGGGGATGATAATGATACCATCCTTTTAGTATAATTGTTATGTAATTGTAAAAGTGTTTTTGAGATTAATGTGAAGTAGTCAACACTGTACCTTGCACGTAGGTGGAACTATATAAATGTTACTTCTGTGTTGATGATTCAGCTAAATTATTTTCTTTTTAAATTACCACATTACCAGGTGTTCATTTTAGAGGAATTAGAAATTACAGATGAACCAAAAGAAAAAGAACATCCTAAAAAGCCTGCCTCTCAGGCAGAACTAAGAATGTTTTAATTTTGCCATGAATTCTTTCAAACTTTATAGCATAAAAGGAGGTCCATCTTCTTCGTTTCCTGTTTGTTCTTTTCCCCATTTCTGGTCCATCTCCATTCATTCTCCAATCTGGTCAACAAATACTGAGCACATACTATGAGCTAGTATTGTGCTAGGACAGTGGGATTCAGTGGTGAGCAGAGATCTAGACCATCTTTTTGGAGCTTAAGATCTAGTGGGAGAAACAGATTTTCAATCAAAATAGCAGGACTGGTTATAAATAGTGATATTTTCTGTAAGGGAAATATGTGGGGAGGTTTGAAGGATTATGTAGGAAAACCTGGTCTGACCAAATCTGGGTGTTGTATACGTCTTGGTGCCGATGGACCACTACTAGTTGCAATACGAATTTAACAGCACTAGAGTTAATCAAAAGTATATTGAAAAATTAACACAGTTGATTATATAAAAATAAATTTTCATAAATGAAAAATATATTTGCAGTTCATATTACACACATGGCTGATTTCTTATATAAAGAGTGCCTACAAATAGAAAAAGATTAATAACCAGATGGGAAATGAGAGAAGGTTATAGGTAGAAAGTTCTTAGAAACACAAATGACTCTTAGAAGTAAAAGAAGAGGCTCAACTACCAATAATAAGAGAAATGTAGTTCACAACTATAATGGGATATTTGTCACCTTCCAGATTGGCAGAGATCAAAGAATTTAATAACACTATATTGGAAAGGTTGAGTGGAACAAAGCACGTTAATACACTTGTATACATAACCCAGTAGGTACTTTTTGTGGAAGATAATGTGTTAATGTGACAAAAATTACAAATGTCCTTTTCTTTCCACCCAGAAGTTTCACTTCTAGAAATTATAAATATTATAAATATAGGAATCTTAGAAATACTCATTACAGCATTGCAGTGATAAAAGATTGGAAACAATTTAAATGTCAGTCATTAGTGTACTGGTTAAATAAATTATGATACCTTCATATAATGGTAGTTTTTTATATACCAATTTGTGTGCAGTAGTCACCAAGTTATATGACAGAAGTGAGTTGGAAAACCGTGTGTATTGTATCCTATAATTCCTGGGAAAATACTTTAAATACACACTTGGTTTATGCTTAGAACATCTATGAAAGGACATGCAAGAGATGGATAACAGTGGTTCTCTAAATAGGGAAACTGGGGACCAGGTAAGGAGGAGTCATATTTTCAGCGTATATGAATCTGGATTTACATGTTACCTGTTTTGAAAAAGTGAAATGGTTTTTCAAAAATCATAGGGCAATCAGTGAATAAAAATATATTCTAATCTCCCTGGGAATACATTCTGGTTTGGATTTCTTTTTCATTTTTGTCATCTTCTTGTATGATATCTTCAGACTTTTACAACTGACCACGTTCCCTCTGAGCTCGTTCTCCTTTCTGAACTAGTTTTCCTTGTGTTTCCTGTCCTGTAGTTAGGAAAAATGAGACTGACAATCCCATGCCGTGCAGTGACTTGTACACATCTGCAGTGTTTTGATGCTGCCCTTTATCTACAAATGAATGAGAAGAAGCCCACCTGGATTTGTCCTGTGTGTGACAAAAAAGCTGCCTATGAAAGTCTAATATTAGATGGGTAAGTATATCCCTTTTAACAGCTGATATGGACTAATACAACAGCTGTTGGCAATGTCTTTGTTCAGTACAGCTTACTGAACTAAATTCTAAATAAATTCTACTCTAGCATAAATCCAGATGTTTGTATGTTTTCTGTCTTATACATAATTACACTCAATCTTATTTTTTATACTGTGGTTAGTGGCTTTTTTTTTTTTGAGACAGAGTCTCTGTCGCCCAGGCTGAAGTGCCATGGCTTGATCTCGGCTCACTGCAAGCTCCGCCTCCCAGGTTCATGCCATTCTACTGCCTCAGCCTCCCAAGTAGCTGGGACTACAGGCGCCCACCACCGCACCCGGCTAAGTTTTGTATTTTTAGTAGAGACGGGGTTTCACCGTGGTCTCGATCTCCTGACCTCATGATCCGCCCGCCTCAGCCTCCTAAAGTGCTGGGATTGCAGGCCTGAGCCACCGCGCCCGGTTGGTTAGTGGCATTTTTATCTCTATAATATGATTTGTGTTGAGGGCAATGTTTTTGCTTTCCAAGATTATATTTTATAAAACCTACAGGAAATAGGGAAAAGTTTGCTTTGTGATGTCATTTTCCTTACCTAGAATTTCTTGAAGTAGCAGTTAGGGTCTATGCAAAAAACCAGAGGAAGTGATAGGGTAAATACAGACACATTATATAGCTCTTAAGTTCAAAACTGGAATTCATACCCAGGTATTTCTGACTCTGGAGTCCAAACTCTAAACATCATCTCTCATATTATATTGCATGTCAGAATTTGGAAAATGGCATGAACTAATTTTTAGTACCTTTTTTCAAATAATACTTTTTTTAAAATTGCACATGTCATCCATACACCATGTAAGATTTAGAAAATACAGTTAATGGAAAGATGAAAATAAAATTAGCAGGACCATCCTATGGTGATGACTTTGTTATTGACATATTAAAAAAGACTGAAATGATACTTTATGTAATGATTTATATTAATATATACATATGATTTTTACTCAATATATAGTGAAAAGTATCCTAGATTTTTAAAGATACTTGTGCAACTTGAAAATGTTTTAAGCCAGGCACAGTGGTACATGCCTGTAGTTCCAGCTACACAGGAAAGTGAGGTGGGAGGATCACTTGAGCCCAGGAGTTCAAGGTGAGCCTGGGCAACATAGTGAGTTGCATCTCTAAAATAAACAACAAAAGTTTTACAAGAGTATTATCTGTGGAGGGGAATGGGGAATGAAGAGTGAATGGGACTTTAGCATTCCTTTCTGAACGTTTTTGTTTGCTGAGTTTTTATTTTTAGCTTATTTTGAAAAAATTTCAACCCTACAGAGGTGTTAGAATAGTAGCACAAAGAACCTCCCATGTAACCTTGACCCAGAAGCTTCAGTTGTTAACAATCTACTGCAGTTGTTGTATCACTTTCTCCCTTAATATGTGTGCATATACACATTTTTGGTGTATGCATTTGCGAATGTAGAGAGAGATGATTATTACTATTTTTAGAATTCTTTTGAACCATTTGAGAGTTACATATGTCATGCTTCTTCGCACATTAATATTTTGTGATGTGTTTGCTAAATTCTCAATATTCCATATTTGTTTCTACTTTTTCAATTTAAAATTGCCTTGTGATGTTAACATTTTTGAAGATGGCATTTTGTATATGTCTGTGGAGTTTTCTTCAAGTTCTTAGAAATACTCAAACGGAATGTATAACTTTAAGACTTTTAGTATTTATTATCAAGATGCCTCCCAGGAGGAGTAAGCTATTTTTCTCTCCTAGTAAATCATTTCACTCTCATGCCAATAGGCATAACACTGTCCACTTCTCAGCTCTCTTAGCAGCCTTACATATTAAATCTTACTTTAAAAATGTCTACTCTTGGGTGTGGTGGCTCACACGTGTCATCCCAGTATTTTGGAAGGCCAAGGCAGGACGATTGTCTGAGGCCAGGAGTTTGAGGCTGCAGTGAGCAATGGTCATGCCATTGCACTCCAGCCTGGGTGACAGAGCAAGACTCTGTTTCAGAAGTAAACAAAACAAAACAGAACAACAAATAAAAATGTCTACCAGTTTCCTAATTTAAAAGATAGCTAATCATTTTGACTTTTAATTTTTTTATTATAAGAGTTATCAGATATTTCTTTAATTCCATATATTGGTAATTGTAATATCTTTTACAAATTGCCTCTTAATGTTCCTTTTTTAAAAAAGATTTTGCTATGGGCTTGCGTATCTTTTTCTTACTGGTCTATAAATAGTCATTATAGATTGAGGATATTAATTTCTCTGTCCGCATGTGCCAAATGTGTTTTTCCAGTTTGCCTTTTATTTGTATTTATTGTGACCTTTGTTTTCCATTCAGAAGCTTTACATTTTTTTTCATCAAGTCTTGTCTTTTCCATTTTGAACTTCTGTCTTGAAAATGTTTAGAAAGTTGTAGAGATTTTATATGAGCATTTGCTTGTTTTCATCAGACACATTTATGATTCCTTTTTCCAGTTGTGCAGTTGTTCCATCATACATTGCTTCATGAATTCATTCAACACAGTACTTACTAAATACCTATCATGTGTCAGACACTAGGTCTAAAAATGATGAGCAGAGCACTTTTAGTATGGGAGACAGTAAAATAGAAAGCATATGAAGTGTAAAGTGCTATGAAGATAAGGAATGACACTATGGGAGGAAAACTGGGGATGGGGAATGAACTTCCCATTAAGGTAGGGATCACCTCACCCTAGCACCCAGATTATTCTCAACCACATTTACTTGAATAATCTCTCCCACAGATTTGAGATACTACTTGCATTATGTGATACATTTCTTGTAAATACTAGTGTTAACTTCTGAACTTCTATTTGTTCCATTGATCAAAGTATTAGTAGGCCAGTACGAAACTATTTTTATTAGATTTCTATTATGTGGTAGTATTTCTTAGGCCATTTCTTTTCAGAATTTTTTTGACTAGTGTCACAGTACATTCTGCGATATTCACTTGAATAAAAGCATTCTGAAATTACACAGAACCTTTTTGGGTTTTCATTTACATTATGCTGAGTTTTCAGTATAGTTGAGAAAAATAAACCTCTTCTCATGAAGTAGGCATTTTTGGCATAAGAACTACTCGTGTACAATGTACAATTTGATAAATTTTGACCTATTATATACCTGTGAAATCATTATCCCAGTCAAGATAATGAACACACCCATCACACCCAAAGTTTTCTCATGTATGTTTTCAATCTCTCCCTCTCAGTCCTCAAGCAAACACTGATATGCTTTCTGTTTCTATAGATTAGTTTGAATTTTCTAGACTTTTATGTGAATGGAATCGTAAACTGTGTGCTTCCTTTGTCTAACTTCTTTTTCTCAACATACTTGTTTGAGATACATTTATGTTGCATATACCAATATTTCATTTTAATTGCTGAGTTGCATTCTCACCCACAGTTTGTCAGTTCATGCGTTGATGGGTTTGTTCTGGTTTTGGGCTGTTGGAAATACAGCTACTGTGAACATTCATGCCCAAGTCTTTGTGTGGACTGTTTTCATTTATCTTGGGTAAATACTTAGGAGTGGAATGCCTGGGCACATGCCTGGTGTGTGCTTAACTGCAAGAAACTGTCAGACTTTTCCAAAGCAGTTGTACTATTTTATATTTCCACCAGCAGTATATGGAGAGTTTTGATTGCTCCTCATTCTCATTAACATTTGGTATGGTTTCTCTTTTTTTGCGGGGAGGGGAGTGAGCGCAGAGTCTCGCTCTGTTGCCCAGGCTGGAGTGCAGTGGAGTGATCTCGGCTCACTGCTAGCTCTGCCTCCTGGGTTCACGCCATTCTCCTGCCTCAGCCTCCCGAATAGCTGGGACTACAGGTGCCTGCCACCACACCCGGCTAATTTTTTGTATTTTTAGTAGAGACGGGGTTTCACCATGTTAGCCAGGGTGGTCTCGATCTCCTCACCTCGTGATCCGCCCGCCTCGGCCTCCCAAAGTGCTGGGATTACAGGCGTGAGCCACCGTGCCCCGGCCTATTGCCCACTTTTTAATTGGGTTTTGTTTTCATATTGTTGAATGTTGGTGGTTCTTTATGTATTCTGGATACAAACGTCTTACCAGGTGTATGACTTTTAAATGTTTTCTGTCATTTTATCTTTTCAGTCTTTTAACAGTGTGTTTCAAATAGCAGAAGTGTCTAATTTGAATGAAAGCTAGTTTACCAAGTTTTTCTTTTATGAAAGATTGTGCTTTTGGTATTATTTTAAGACATTTCCCCTAACTCAAGGTCACAAATATTTTTTCTGAGCTTCCTGTAGGAGTTTCATAATTTACTTTTACACTTAGGTTTATTATTTCTATCAAGTTAATTTTTATGTATGGTGTAAGATAACAGGATTTTTGTTTTTGTTTGGTATATGGCCATGTGATTGGTGCACCATCATTTGTTAAGATTAGTTTTTCCTCATTGAATTGCTTTTGCACTTTTTACAAAAATTAATTGACTATATGTGTGGATCTCCGGACTGTTATATTGATTTATTTGTCTGTAGTTGTGTCAATACTGCATTCGCTGAAAGTCAGGTAGTGTGAATCTTCCAACTTTGTTCTTCTTTTTCAAAGTTGTCTTGGCTATTGTAGATTCTTTGCATTTTCATACAAATTTTGGAATCAGCTTGTCAACTAGGGAAAAAAACCTGCTGGGATTTTGATTTGTTTTTCATTGACTCTGTAGATAAGTCTGTGGTGACATAACAATATTGAGTCTTCTGATTTATGAACAGGATGTATCTTTCTATTTATTTGTCTCAGCAGTGTTTTACAGTTTTCAATGTGTCTTGTACATCTCCTGTCAAGTTTATTCCTAAATATTTCATATTTCTGTGGTATGTAAAAATTTTTTGTGATTATGGCTAATATATAGAAATATAGTTGACCTTTGTATATTGCTTTCATATCAAGATATGTTATTCCCATCCCTTAGTAGTTCTAGTGGCTTTATTATAGATTACATAGGATTTTCTATATAGTCAGTAATGTTTTTTAAATAAAGACAGTTTTACTTCTTCTTTCTAACGTGGCTGCCTTTTGTTTTCCTGCCACCTTGCATTGACTAGTCTGGTAATATGGTGCATTATGTTGATTGACTTGTGGATATTAAACTAATCTTGTATTGTGGGAGTGAACCCCATTTGGTCATGATTTGTTATCCTGTGTGTATTCGTTGTTGGATTTGTTTTGCAAAGTTCATGGGGGATGTTGGTATTTAGTTTTGTTCCAGTGCCTACCTGGTTTTATTATCAGAGTAATGCTGACCTTGTACAATGAGTTGGAAGTAGTGGTATTATTTCTCCTCAAATATTTGGTAGAATTCCCTAGAGAAGACTTTGGGCCTGGGATATTTTTTTTTTTTTTTGGTGAAGTTTTTAACTACAGATCCAACTTCAGGCATAGGGCTTCATAGGTTATCTGATTCTTTTGGAGTGAGTGTAAATAAGTTTGACTAGAAGCTGATTTTTCTGTTTTTCTTTTTTTCTATTTGGTTTTTTTTTCTTTATTTCTCTTTTTCTTGCTTTTACTATAATTTGCTTTTTTTTCTAGTTTCATAAAGTTACTGATTTGAGACTATTTTCTAATTAGGGAAGATTATTTACTTTAAATACTACTTTAGCTACAGTCCACAAATTTTATTACATTTTTATTTTCATTCAGTTCAAAATCTTATTTTTGTCTTTGACTCATGTTTCTTTAGTTTCCAAATACTTATGAATTTTTCACATTTTTCTGGTACTGACTTAATTTGAACATAATTCAGATACGCTTTGCTTATTTTAAATTTATTGAGACTTCTTTTATTTACCTATTCTTCCCTCCTTCCCCTACCCCATTATCCTTTTTTCTCAAAGTTAAAGTTTATAAATTATTTTACTATATAGTAACCTTTGTCTGCTTGTGTTTGTTTTGCGTGCTGTGTTAGAGGCTGTTCTTACTGCCAGCCTCAGCTAGGAGGCTGCAGGTATCTACCAAACTATTATGTCGCCTGTTACAGATTTAAAACAGGACAAAGGGGGTGTAGTAATTGTTGTAAAGTATAAAAGTATTGCAATACCAAAAGAAAAGGGGGTCAGCTAGCATTACTTATGTTTTCAAGGTAATGTGTGTTACTTTCTTATTTCCCCTTTAGGCAAAGCTGTTGATTACATGTATATACTTCTTAATTGTTTTTAGGCTTTTTATGGAAATTCTCAATGACTGTTCTGATGTGGATGAGATCAAATTCCAGGAAGATGGTTCTTGGTGTCCAATGAGACCGAAGAAAGAAGCTATGAAAGTATCCAGCCAACCGTGTACAAAAATAGAAAGTATGTGTAGAACAGCAGCAGAGAGCAAAGCAGTGAGACTCATGTAACATTATCATTAATCTTGGCCCCTAGAACTATACGTTTGGAATTCAGCTTGTTGACTCAATCTTTTGATTATATATCATTTCCCCCAAATGATTTTTATTCTTTCCTGAAGAAATGTGCTGAAGTTTATACTATCTTATCAACTATTTCAAAGTATATTTTTCGTATGTAGAATAAAGGAAACATTCATCTAAAATCATTTTAAAATACGATGTTTGTTACAAAACGAAAAGTCACAAATGAATTTATGTGGACAGTTTTTCACAATTGTTTTTAGAGTATCTGTAGGTGGAACCCTGAGTGGAGGTGAGGTTAGAGGGCTGCATCATTGATTAATGGTCTTGTTGGTTTGGGGATGGTCACAGGTTAATTGCTCAGAAAGTAAACAAATTGTTTCCTTCCATTTCTTTGTGGGGAGGAATATTAACATTGCCTTGATTACCTAGAATGTGTACTTATCCATCAACTGCCTGCATCTGTCCACACTAAGTAGGGAAACTGAGGGCATTTTGAGTAATTGAAACCCACAAGGGAACTTAGAGTTTCTTTTTACCTAACAATTTGAAACCCACACGTGAACTTAGAGTTTCTTTTTATCTAAGTCTATTCACTGCATTTCAGTTTTGTTCTGATTACATTTGAAGTTCTAACAAACAGTGTAATGAATGGAGTAAGAAGAAAGGGGAAAAAAAGAATTTATGCCATTATTAATTATTCCTCTGTGATTGATACTGAACCTGAGTGCAGTGACCAAGGTTTCTGTCATCTTTGAGAAAAATGGGGAGTGATTTAGTTGATAAATTTCTATTGCTTTTCCATTATCAACTGTCTTTCATTTTTAACTAAATACATTCAGATAATATACTTTTCTATGAAAATGTTGAGTTAACATATATGGTATGTGAGACTATCTTTGTGGGTAGTCTATGGACCTATGTGATTCGTAGATAATTCATAAGAAAAGTTTAAATGTGTGAGTAACTTAATTGAGAGGTTTGGGTTTTTTCAACTTATCAAGGTGAAAGTTTTTATCAGTTCTGGCTTATGGTGAAAAGTTTGTACTTTCTTTGATATGAGCATGATTGCTAGAATGGAAATATCTGGTTCTGAGCTAACTATGCAACGTGTCTGTGAGAATACATAGCTGGTGAACTCACCTATTTTTGTCCCATGGCCTGAGACCAGTTCCCTAACTCTCCGTGTCTTTCTGTAAAACGACTGCTGACCTGCAGAGACAGGATGAGCATTAGGAGCTGCACAGATCCTTCAGTGGTATTGGAGGCATAACTAAGAACATTCTGTCTGAATGAAAGTTTGAGAGTTCTGACCTTCTGTCAAGGAATAGTGCTCACCTGTCTCCCTAGGTGAACAACCATTTTACAGACAGAGGTCTGGAGTTAGGGAGTTGGTACCTGTCCATGGTTTGGAGTAGGTGGCTCCACTGGCGCTATGTGTTGTCAGGAATATACTATACTGAATATACTAGACTCTACCACTAGAGTTTATTTGTGTTATACCTTTGATTTTTTTTTTTTCCTTTTGTTTCCTTACATGCAGGTTCAAGCGTCCTCAGTAAGCCTTGTTCAGTGACTGTAGCCAGTGAGGCAAGCAAGAAGAAAGTAGATGTTATTGATCTTACAATAGAAAGCTCTTCTGATGAAGAAGAAGACCCTCCTGCCAAAAGGAAATGCATCTTTATGTCAGAAACACAAAGCAGCCCAACCAAAGGGTTTGTTAATTTATAGTTCACTATTGTTCATTACACTCGCAACTAATTGCTCTTGGGGTAGATTTATAAATGTCTCTTTGGGAAATGGTGTAACTGTAGAAGGCTATTTGCCTTTGTTGAGTTGGAACATTTTCAAGTAAGCACATTGTAGGAAGCACATTTTGATGGAGAAAATATTTACGTCTTTGGAAAGTGAGCGTGTGAGGTATTTATTTCCTACCTGAGACTTTTTGTTATTTTCTTGAACCTGTTTGTAAGGAAATTTGGCATCTCAGACCAAATGAGAAAGTCTGGTGTAATGGGGTGTGGAACTGGGAATCTGACAAGTATGGATTCCAATTATGGCACACCATCGCTTACTTGTTCTGTGATCTTAGATGAAATACTTAATTTGATTGAGCCTCTTTTTTGTGTTCTGTTAAATGGAGCTAAATAATGCCTATATTACAGGATTATTTTCAGGTTTTAATGAGATGAAAGAAAGCCTCAGTGTCAGGCATGTGGTAATTTCTCAATAAAAATTGATTTCTTTCCCTTCTCAACCTCTCCAGGGCGAACTATGGATGGGTAAGATGGCATTCTACCTGAATTTTAGCATGGATTCTCTATAAGTTATCTGGCAGAAGCCATTACTGGCCTGCGTTTAAAATCAGGTTTGGGTATTTAGCAATAGTTGCTTTTTCAGAGAGGTTTTGGATCATACAAGGAGATAACAGGAGAGTTCTCCTGACAGTTCACGAACACATTCTTTCAGACTTGGGAGTGCTAGTGTCATCTTTTTGGCCTCTCGGTCCACTTTGTTTTCTAACAGCTTTACTGAGGTATAATTTACATAGCATAAAATGTACCCATCTTAAGTATGTAACTGCACAATTCAGCGATATTTTAGAAAATACATAGAGCTGTGCAATCATTACCATGATTCAGTAGTAGAATATTTTCAACACCCAAAAAAACTTTCTTCATGTTCTTTTGTAGTTTATTTCTAGTTACACCCCAAATCTAGGCAGTCATTTTTTTGTCTCTGTAATGCCTGTTCTAGACATTTTATATAAAATACCTCCTTTTGCAACATTGTTTATTTTTATAATTTTAAGAATTAAACCTTTTCAGCTGCCTTCTTTACTGTTAAAATACTTAATATTTCCAGATATAATTTACACGTATATTAAGGGCATATATTTACTTCTACCTATTTAATTAGAATGAGGTGGGGTTTTTGTGTGTGTGGAACAAAATGAGGAAGTGTTTCAAATCGATTTTTTCCTGTTGTGCCAATCATTTATTGCTCCTTTGAGACAAATTGACTGGTACATCTTAATTTAAATAATACACAAAAAATGAAGATATAATTTTGAAATGGTTACTGGGGTGGAGTATCAGGGGAATGAATGCTTAGATGTGATGTTTCTGGATTTTACTCTGTAATGATATCCTTTAGAATATAGTGGAAAAACATGAGTTGCAAGTACTGTAGTTGGCTGAATTCATGCCAGGTTGAGAGGTCATGCCTAGTGATGCTGACTCATGAGTCGTTGTGATCTTGGAGCATGTCTCTGGTAGCATGCCACAAGGGTCTACCCTCTGTCCTTTACCACATTTTTATCTATGTTTGATGAGTCCATGAAACAGGAGGGATGGCACATACACAGTGGGTGACAAAATCTGAAATGACCTCAGTATGCAGAGGAATAAGGATAGTTTACATCTGTGGTCAGCTACTATAGAGATAAATGTTAAGGTTTCTCATCTAGGCTGAAAAGAAAACAAAAACTAACATTGGTAAGTATAAGGTAGAAATTTGTAACTAAACCAGCAACACTTGAAAGTTTATTTTAGAAGTCTGTATAAAGTGCAGCTACCTAGTTCATTCCATGAAGCTGATGTAGCCCTTAATACCCAAGCTAGACATACATACACATTAATACTTACACGGAAGAACTCTTAAGAAACAGACTCACGTAGAAAGATAAATGAAAATTCTGAATTCAGTCTTAGGAAATCATTTAATTATATATTAAAATGACATATGTGACAAAGTAGTTTATCCTAGGAGTGCTTTAATATTAGGAAATACATTGATAAGATGTATCTTGTCATAAGGACAACTATGTAGTCATCTTCATAGATGTTGGAAAGGCCTTCAGTAAATTAATTGCCATTTCTGATAGAAACTCTTCAAATGTCAGGTTTCAATTAATGGTTTGAAGGGTTCACCACTAAAACCAATTTGTTCTTAGCATTAATAAAATAAGCATAGTATCCAGGATCCATACCATGCCAGTTTTGTTCCATTTTAGGCTATACGACTCTCAGAGCATTTCAGTCAGTGCTGATCATTAAGAATGGTATTAACAAATAAGTATGACCAGAGCAGGGGAACAGGAAAGTGAATAGTGGAATCTGGAGCAAGATGGATGACTGGGTCTTAAGGACTGAAGCTGTTAAACCAGGAGAAGAGATTATGTGACAGCCACCTTGTAGTTCTTAAAAGGGAGACATTGACTAGCTGGATTAAATTTGTGATTTATTACCAGATTTAGGTCCAGTGAACTAAAGATACATGGACAGACTTTCTGTTGGAGCTTTCTGAGTACTAGGAAATTTAATCTTTTGTCCCGAAATCGTATTTTCTGTTTTAGAGTGGCTGCCGCCTGTCACAGTGTCATAGTGGAGGCTCATGCTATGGTTATATCATCTCTGTGATTCCCTCCTACTCTTAGACCTTTGTGGCTTTGTTCTTGGTTGTCCTTTTCATATCCTTTCTTGTAGTTCAGTATCTAGAGTTTTTATGGTTTTCCTATGCTGTGTAAGTTTGTCATAGGATTTTTTGGCCGTCAAAGATAGTAAGCAAATGAGAAAGAATAGAGAATGAGAAATCGGGAAAACTTAACTCTAATTCACAGCCCCGAAATTATGTGAGCAGCTATTTTTTCTTTTTCTTTCTTTTTCTTTCTTTTTTTTTTTTTTAAATTTTTTTGAGGCAGGGTCTCAGTTTGTGACCCAGGCTAGATTGCTGTGATGTGATCCCAGCTCATTGCAGTCTTGACCTCCTGTGTTCAAGCGATCCTCCTGCCTCAGCCCTCCAATTAGCTGGAACTACCACCCCCAGCTAATTTTTTTGTTTTTTTTTTTTGTAAACATGGGGTTTCACCATGTTGCCCAGGCTGGTCTCAAACTCCTGAGCTCAAGCCATCCACTTGTCTTGGCCTCCCAAAGTGCTAGGATTACAAAGTGCGTAAGCCAGCACACCTGCCTATGAGCAGCTATCTTTTAAGAGGTATATTGTTTTAGTAAAAATTATTCTTATAAACAATTTTACAAAGCACCAAGAAGAAAGCAAAAAGTATCTCACCTAGAGAGAATCATTGCTATTTTGATGGCAGTCCTATTCCCTTTCTCTGCATACCAACTGGAGTCTTTGAATGCAGTCTTATAATACCTGTCAGAAGAAACTTGTATGTTAATCTTAAGACCTTTAGAAAATCTCTGATGTTTTTCCATATTAAAAGATAATTTTGCATATTATGCCCCTTCTGGAAAATGAGTGGTTGCTTTGCCTTAATAAGAAGGTATTCTAAAGACAGGAAACAAAAAAAGGATAAATTGGTATGTCTCCAGATTAATAATCATTAGGAATTGGTAGCAAAATTGAATCTTTTTTATACTTTTATGATCATAAAGTGGGAGCATACAGTGAACTTAAGGGTTATAAATAAAAATTGTCAACCTATTTTCAGACATCCAAGTCTGAGCCAAATGTGAGTTTCATGCAATTCTCTGATCCAGCATATAATCCAAAATACTAATATTTGCTGTATAGCAGCATTCTAGCAATTCACTTTTGTGCTGTGATATTATGGATAAAGTTACAAATGTTTAAAATATAAATGTACACTTGCATAATGTATACACATATCTGTGTGTGTTTACCAATCCTATGAAGAGGCAGTAACAAATTTTAGAAGCTTTAAATCTTTTTATATAGCATCACATCTTTACATCCATCATTTCACCATCCATAGCCATTTACATTTTTTCATGGAATCTGTTACTCATTTCTGTTTTTTGCATAGGCTTTAGAATCATTTTGTTTCTGAATGTGGTCCTTGTGAAGATTCTGATAACAAAAACCTGCTACCAGTATGTAATTTGATAATCCTAACTAATGACTACTTTAAGCCATTCTATGTAAAGTTGAATTTGTATTAATGTTTGCAATATTCAGGTGATGGGAATTAACCAACACTAAATTGTTAGCTTTTCATGTGTTTGCTGAGGTTTTAGATGTTGATTTACTAATTTTTACCCCCATTGGATTTTCACATTTCACATGTTTTGACAGTCAACCTTTTGGTATTGCCTAAGTAAGGAGTAGCTATTTAATCATGTAAAGTTTCATGTTGCTAAGTGACAGGACACGTACAGTTATTAGGTGTTACTGTGGTGACAGACAGGTGTATAGGGACATTCACTAGACTCCTCTGTAGATGTAAGTCAAGGGGTCCGAGAAGGAAAGGGAGCTCTGTTATTGTTGTTACATGTAAGTCTATTTCAAGTTGAAGGGTCAATCAGGATCAAAACAAAAGAATCTCCAGTGTGAAATAGCAAAGGATGAGAAGGGGGAGTGGGAGAATGTTTCACTGTTTTCAGACCTCCAAAAAAGACGAGCTTTAGGTACAATATAACTTATTTTATCTCCTCCCAACTTCTCTTTTTCCTCCAGAGTCTGCCTTTTCTAACATTCTTTTCTAACGTTCATTGTCTTTTTCTTGTACCAGAAAGTCTTTTAGTTTCTTTCAGTGGCAGAGAAAAAAAAAAACCATGATAGGTTAAATGTACTTTTTTTTTGAGACAGGGTCTTGCTCTGTTGTCTAGGCTAGAGTGCAGTGGAGCATTCATGGCTCACTGCAGCCTCTACCGCCTGCACTCAAGCAGTCTCAGCCTCAGCCTTCCAAGTAGCTAGGACCTTAGGCATGCTTCAGTACGTGTGGCTTTTTTTTTTTTTTTTTTTTTAATTTTTTGTAGATACAAGGTCTCCCTGTGTTGCCTAGTCCGGTCTCAAACTTCTGGCTCAAGCAATCCTCCTGCCTTGGCCTCCCAAAGTCCTGAGATTACAGGTGTGAACCACCTTGCCTGGCTCTAAATGTACTTTTAAGTAGAAAGTTTTTAAATTAAATGAAACCTTATATATATTTGGTCTTCAAAAGCCTGCCTGTTAATATTTTAACAATAAGATATTAATACTTTGAGACAGCCAGAATAATCAGAGCCACTTCTGTAGTCCCCTCCCCAGCACTCATATATATTCCAGTCTCTCTCTCCTCCTTACCCACTGTGTCCTTCCTCCAGTTTCTCATAAAAACTCTTGTGTGTGAGAGGTGGTGTCATGTTATTTGAAAAACTTGTGATGATGTCCTGTTCTTCTCCTTTGATCCCTGTGAAGGACCACTGTTTTCAAACCTCCAAAAAAGACGAGCTTTAGATACAATATAACTTATTTTATCTCCTCCCAACTTCTCTTTTTCCTCCAGAGTCTGCCTTTTCTAACATAGCTCACATACTGCTTGTGGTTTTAGGTCTTCGAATAGCACTGGAGGCCAAGCAATCTCCAGATTCTAACCTACAGACACGTGATTGAATTTTGGATGATAACTTCCTTCTATCTTTATCTACCTCAGGAAAATGTATTTTCAAATACCAGGCTATGTTATTGCCTCAAGAATATTATATGTCATAAGCTTTCTAAATGGATCAGTTTTTAAAGATTTCTGAACTCTGACCTGTGTTATTTATTCACTTTTCTGAGACTAACATAGTTGCACACTCAACCATATATGTACCCTCAAGATGACTGTTTTCCACGTTTGTAGTGATATCCATATTTAAGTGGTTTGACATTTAAATTGAGGTTATGAAATAGTTTGTCAGAGTACAAAGAATGTCATGCAATTTGTCATTTCTTATTACTGATATTTAATAATCAGCAATAACAGGAAAGGGAAAGGATGCCCAGAGGTTATCCCAGTCTAGCTCTGTGACCATGGTTCTACTTTAAGTTTTTGAGACGTTTTCTTCATCTTCATAATGGCCTTTTCCAGCTACAGAATTCTGTATCTTCGTCATTAAGCTTACGGTAGTTGACTGGCAGTGCTTTGGGATACTAACCTTAATGTTTTACCCCTTGTTTGCAAGGTTCCTACTATCAACCATAAGACCAGTAATGATGCTCAGTTTCCTACATACATTCAAGGATGTCTTTCTTGTGAAGTTGTAGTTGTTTACCCTGGGCTAAGAGAAAATGCAGGTTAAATAGGAAGAATGCAAAAAAATCTCTGTTTAAGCTTGAACTTTTTCAAAATATGTTTAGTTATACTGCTTCTTGAAATTATAAAGTAATTCTATAGTGTATATATATTTTTTTATATAATATCAATTGTGAAGTATTTATTACATGTTTAATTTGTATTTTTGGTAGCATGAACAGCTAATTTTAAAATCATAAATTATCTTGGGATTTCACCTACCTGGTAGGTGGTATCATGGTAGCCAGCATTTTTATTTCTGGATATTATATTTTAAATCCTGAATACTCATCCTCATTTCTGATTGTGGCCTGTTGCCATCAAGTTGGCTGGCTGCAAGACTGAGTAATTTTGCTCAGATGATTCCCAGAAAAGATTGCAAATAATTAATACAATTCAAGTTAGACTTGAAGAAATTTGGGTTGTGCTATAGTAAGTAGCTTCACTTCTAAAGGTTCCCTGATTTAAATCAAACCTTAGGGATCTTCTATGTTAGTTTTAAATTTCTTTAAAGATAAAATCACTGGTACCCATATACTTATTACATACACATTAATAAAAGTGATGTCTGTTTCTGTTTGTGGATGAAAGTGTTATATCTCACTCCAGCACTGTACATTGTGTTTGAATGTCAACTTGCTCTTATGTCGCAGTTGCTGTTGAGAGCCAAGGTACGTTCATGTTAAAATGAAGACTCTTGTGGGAGAGGAGAGGAGAGTGGAGTGCTGTGTAGTGAGTAGCTGCCATGTAGTTGTGCTGAAACTAGTGAACAAACAACTGAGAATGCCCAGTGGTGCAGCTCTTCTCTCCTGTGAACTAACAGCCAGATTGTTTGTAATTTCCCATGCTATTTAAAACAGGGTTCTCATGTATCAGCCATCTTCTGTAAGGGTGCCCAGTGTGACTTCGGTTGATCCTGCTGCTATTCCGCCTTCATTAACAGACTACTCAGTACCATTCCACCACACGCCAATATCAAGCATGTCATCAGATTTGCCAGGTATGTGGAGTGTTTTTGTTTTCTTTTGTTTTTTAATCAAAGTTTATTATTTTTAATCTTAATCTGTGAAGCCAATATAGTTTTGAAATTTTCAATAGAAGTGCTAAGGAAATTTGAAGGCTTCATGTAAAGGTCTTAACTGTTTTTATATACTACATCCAGTTGTTATTTTAACTACAGAGCAATCTATAGATTCCTGGTGATAAGAAATATAGTAGAATAGTAAATGTTAGAGATTTTATTCTCCCTTTTGGAGAATTTGTACTTAGAAACTTTTTCTTCGTTTACCTATTGTAGAACCTCACAGGTGAAGGGAGCATATTTTCTCATACTCTTCTTGGTAGCTCATTAGAACTAATATACTGATGTTGTTTGGGGCTGATTTTTCCTATGAGCTGTGGATTTTATTCTCCTTACAAAGATAGGGTCTACCATCTGTTTCCCTAAAGCGGGGCTTAATAATTGGGATATCTTTTATATGTACAGTAGTTTCCCCTTATCCATGGGGGATAAGTTCCAGGACCCCCAGTAAATATCTGAAACCACAGATATTACAGAACCCTATATATACTGTTCTTTTCTATAAAGACATATTCATGATAAAGTTGAATTTTTAAATTAGGCATAGTAAGAGATGAACAGCAATAACTAATAGAACAATTATAACAATATGCTAGCATCACTACTCTTGCACTTGGTTGCCATTATTAAGTTAAAATAAGGTTACTTGAACATAAGCACTATGTACTGAGATAGTTAATCTGATAACTTAGATGGCTACTGAGTGACAAAGCTGGGAGCCACTGGACAGAGGAATGGTTCATGTCCTGAGTGGGATGGAGCATGATGGAGCCAGAACAGCATGAGATTTCATCAGACTATTCAGAGCAGTGTGTAATTTAAAACCTAAGAATTGTTTATTTCTGGAATTTTCCATGTGATACTTTCTGACTGCAGTTGACCACAGGTAACTGCAATCACAGAAGGCAAAACATAAGGGGGAATCTACTGTAAAATATCAAGGTTTCTTGAATTACCTTAGTATCAGGACTTCTGCAGCCAAGGCTGTATTACAAAATTTAAACTTCCCTCCTTTACTCTTCTTCCCTGTCTCCATAGCCATTGCTTTTGCAGACATTTCTGTCAGTTATATTTGAGCAAGTTAGAACCAGTACATTCATGACTTCCCTTCTCTCTGAAGGCCCTTTTAGTGGAAAACAATTCTCTCCTGTTACTAATTTTCTTCTCTAGATTTATGAAGTTAATTTTGACCTATGATTTATTTTTTTTCTCCCCTTAGTGAGATCTTTATTTTTAAGCACAATGCTTATCCTCTGGGTGAAAATTTGTGTTACTGAAACAATTGATAATTGGCTCAGTATGATTTTGCTTCTTGAAATTTGTTTAGATTACGTGAATAAAATTTAGTGGAAAAGAATAGACATTTTATAGTACCCATTGAAAAAAATGGCTTTTAAAGTTATTTTTTGCTTCTTAAATATATTTACTCCATATGTAATTTGGGAGTTGGTATTTTAAGAAGTTCTTTGTAGACCCAGCTAGCACAAATTGTAAAGTATTTGTAAAGTATATACAAAGTCTGATGCTAAGGTACAGGTGAGGTTTCATGTCGGGGACAAAGATGGAAATTCAGAGATTCTTAATTCCTAACTGCCTTTTATGGCTGTAACATTGGCTAGTTGGAAGAGTGTCTACATGTCATCTCAGTATGTGTTATAAGCAAGCATTCCAAAAGGATTTGTTTCCTAAAGACCTTGAATTAAAAATTAATCCTGAAAAAAGATAATGAGCATTTCTGTTCATTAAAGTGATCCTATCATTTAGCAATAGTATAGACACAATTTACAAATCACTTGCCCTGTTTTTCAATTCTGTGAACCTGGATTAATTTTTAATTGGGGGAAATTTACATTATTTCAAAATTTGGGCATAAAGTAAGACTTTATTTCTTTTTAGGAATGTGCAAACTTGAGAAAAATGCAGTAAAATATGTTTGAACTAGGTATTTGGTAAAAATGCATTTCAAGCTGGTATTGAGCAAACAAGACTAATATCCAAGGCTCATATTTAGCCAATATTAACAATTATGGTGATACTGGTGGTTGTTATTGAAAAGCTTTCTTACCAATTGATAACTGAATAGAATAGGATCTATTGTTCTTTAGAAGAATTGCTAGTTTATCATCATGTATTAATTATGTAGCAATTACTATATCTAAATAGTTTAGTTTTACTTTGATTTTATTGTTAATGTGCTCTTTTGTGATTAGTAATTTGGTTTTATTTTTATGCATAATTTTTATGTAATTAGTCATACTGTGAAGAATTTTAGTATTGATAAACTTAATAATTTATAATAAAATATTAAATAGAACACCAAGAATGGAGAGATAACAAAGTTTTAATACATTTCTTAACATTCCTTTTAAACATAAACATGAATCTTCTGAATCTGCAGGAGAACAAAGAAGAAATGATATTAATAATGAACTGAAGCTTGGAACATCTTCTGATACTGTGCAACAGTGAATACAAAATAAAACAAATAATTTGTATTTATGGAGTGGAAAACAGCTTGATTATTTCAAGGAAAAATATGACTGCCTTATTATTGCTAGTGCCATATTGTCAGGTGCGAATGGTGCTCAAAAGTTGTATCATTAAAATTTGAAAGTGCTAAACATTTACATATTTAATCATGTAGCAGTTATGTTTTGTTAAAGTTTATGACTCAAAGAAAATGTGTTGTCATCAATAAGGAAAAAAGTCTTAATGAGTCAATTTCACAGTGAAGCACTTAAAATTTTAAAATTAAAATTTTATCAGTGTTGATAAAATAGTGTTAACACTACCTGCTTTTATTCAAAAGTGATTGACCATCTTCAACCGTGAAATACTTAGGAGGGCATAAAAATGTATCAGTATGGCATGCTGCAATTGAAACTTAACGGTGAAATAAGAAACTGCATTTTGCTAATAAACTTATGAAACAAGGCAGTAAAATTTTAATCACTACTGATGAAACTTTATTTCATATAAGAGTTTTAATATTCTGCTTAAAATGTAAAATGCAAGAAGACTTGGATGATTTCGTTTTTTTCTTAGGAAGAATAGCATCTAAAATACGATACCAAACTTCACTGTTAGTACTTGAGAAAAAAATGGTTTTAGTGAGAGAGATATTTACATTAAACAGATTTTATATAGACAGCACCCTTGTAATGCTTGGTAAACAATCTAGAATTCCAACCAGAATTCCAACCAAAATTTTAGAAAAATTTCTAGATATTTTATTATGGTGTTGTATAAGTCACCACATTCAATTTTCCGTGGATGAGGTATCAAGATACAGATAAGTAAATCTCTTAATTCTTTTCTAAATAAACTTTGTATTTACTGCACACATGAAATCATCAAAGAGAATTACAGTACATCTGAAGAACTGGAATGGAAATAATGAAAATAGGGTCCTCAGTGGGCATTCTCTGGTGATGCAGCTTCAATTTTTAATTTCAATTAAAATAATACACAGGCTTGATATGATTTTCAAACTGTTTTATATCAAGCTTGCATATTTATTTTAACTGAAATTATGAAATGGAAATAGTTGAACATTTAGAAAATGAGCATTTTTGAGTGGCTTGGCATCGGTACACAGTATTCCAACACCATCGTCGATACTTTAGTGTTATAAAAAGGTTTCAGTTACTAACATGAACTGAGAGATACAACAAATACTAAAGGTGATTGAGTGTATGAAACTGAAAAACTATAAAAAGGTAGAAACTATTATAAATATGAAGAAAACCGAAAAACTGAAAAGATAGAAGGTACTGTAAAGAAAAAACGGTTATACCATTTGAAGCAGAACAAAATAAATAACATTCCAATAAACTTTTTTTACTTAATAATAGAAATTGAAAATGTAAAACTCTGAAGGTATTACAAGGGCTAGACAAATTTTGAGTTCTTTGGCAGAAGCAGAGAGATGATTTACTGAATAGTATCAATATGAAGACAAAGTCTGCTTATTGAGATATCTCACCTATTATTTTAATAGAGAAGTCATTGGAAAAGTTTGTTGTAATTCTCTTTGGTTTAGTATTGGCTCAAACCATCGTATCATATAGCTAGTGACAGACATACGAAATGAAAAATTACAGCAAGCTGGGTGCGGTGGCTTGTGTCTGTAATCCCAGTACTTGGTGAGGCTGAGGTGGGAGGATCGCTTGAGCTCTGGAGTTCAAAACCAACCTGGGCAACATAGCGAGACCCTCTCTCTAAAAACAAAAAAAATAATAATAATAATAATTAGCTGAGCATGGTGACACACGCCTGTAGCCCCTGCTTTTTGTGAGGCTGAGGCCAGGAGGTAAAGGCTGTAGTGACCTATGATTGTACCTCTGCGTCCCAGCCTGGGCAACAAAGCAGACTCAGTGTCTCCCAAAAAAGGAAAAAAAAAATCTGTAGCAACAATTTTCAAAAAGACTTTAGAAATCGTTGGAATGATTTCTTTCAAATGATTGGTGCTATAGCTTGTATCACTTGATAAGCATTTTTGTAATACCATTATTTGGAGATTATAAGATAATAAATATATTTAAATTTTTTGAGTTGTAAATTCATACTGGTTAGTAAATATTTTAAATGTCCCCACTGATATTGTCTATTTTGCATAAAAGCATAATGTCAGACTTTCTCTGTGTGGTGGTTATATTCAGAGTGTCTCTGAATGCCAGCATAAAAATCGTGGAATTGAATAGAAATTGGCCTGTCTTAATGACGTATGGTTTCTTTTTTAATGTTTTGAAATAATTAAAGAGAATTAAGTCACACAGGGAGGTCTAGGTGAACAGACATTGAAGTTTATTACTAGACTTTTCAGACCTAAAAATTGTATTTATTATTATTATTTGAATATGTCAAAATTATATTACTGGACAATCTTCTACACATTCCTCTTTCTAAAACCTAATTGAACAATTACAGTTCTCTGGTTCAGAAAATTACATTAGCTCAGAACCCAGTAACCCTTAATAACTTAACCGTGTTAGCGCAGCAGTTCCTGAGTGTGTGCTTTGTGCAGAGCGTTGGACTATGTACTGCTCTTGATGTGGGGACAGCTGGAACAGAGAGCTATCATTGAAATAGACATTTGTTTAAGAGGTGATACTTAGATGAACCTCTGTATTTCTGAAAAATAAATGTGAAATATCTTAAGAGCTTAAGTATGTTTTTTTGTTTTTTTTATTTTTGAAGGTTCAAATCCAGATCATTAGCTCATCATTTTTATTGCTTCTCATTCTGTTAAGCTGCAAAGGGGGAAACATTTGTTCTGACTAGTCCTTCTCTGAAAAGTTTTGTACTTCTTTGAGTCTCTGGGAGCTAGTTTTTCCAGTTGTTTTATCAGAGAATATATTCATCTTTGGGTTTTAAACACTTCAAATATCACTAATCATGGTATAGAACTTCCCTGTGGCAGAGTGGTAAGCACTTACCACAAATGTTTTGTGATTTGTGATAAAAATGATTTAGGGAAATAATTCTGGTCTCCTAAAATATGAGACAACTATTAACAAAGCATTTTTGTTTTAGGTTTGGATTTTCTTTCCCTTATTCCAGTTGATCCCCAGGTATGTATCCTGAATTTAAGCAACTAATTTGTATTTGATTGTTGGTTATGTCATAGTAACTAAAAATGACCAGTTGCATAAAATCAGGACAGTCAACTCTGAATTACTTACATTGATGGAAAGGAAGTACTGTGCAAATATTTCACAATTTATTTGAAGGAATAAAGTTGTTTTCAGTTTATGATTTTTGTCTTTAATATCTAAATTTTAAATTCTGTTTTATTTAGCTTAATCAGTTGGCATCTCTTACAAGCATTTGAATGATTAGAATGAATGGAAGGAGTTCTGGGTGGCTGCAAGTTAAAATTTTACAAATACAGTTTTATTTTTTAGCTAAAACATTCTGTACATAGAAAATCAATAGCTAAACCTGATTAGACAGACTTGACTCATTAGCTTGATTCTTCATTGTTTTTAAAGACATTCAAATTTGGACTTTGGGGAGGCCCCAGTTTAAAGTTGCTATATGTCAATCATCCCTGTTTTCTCTGTCAAAGATGAGAAACCCTAGTAGCCCAGAGCCCCAACGTGAAGACCTTACAGTGAGCATGGATTGCACAGACAGGCTTATAGCAGAGTCAGAGCAGAGGAGGAGAGGTCCTGTATCAGCCTCCTGTTTCAGTACTCTGTATCAGATTACATGAACAGCGCCAGAAATTTCTGTGCAGACTGAGGAATTTCTTGTCATTCGGTGTTGACCTCCTTCTAGCAGTATATATAACAAAGGTACCTAGCAAAGGTATCTGTATTTTTCTAGGAAATGGATTCTTCAGATGTAAGGGATTACTAATTTTTATGTGACCAGTTCTTTTACAAAAAATTATCTTGGAACCTAGAGGTTTTTATTTCATAGCTCTATTTTGTATATTTAGCAGTGGTCTAACTTATTTGGTGACTCCATAGTAGAAGGGTGAGGTGGGGCCTTACAGTTTGCCATAGAATCCTTAGGTTTTACTACCTGACCTCCATATTATCCCTTAATTCTTGTCATTGTATCTACAATAAGGGATGCAGGGTTAGAACTTAAGTGGCTGCAATCTGAATACTTCTAAGAATTCAGTGCAGAGCCTGTTGATGGCAGGACTGTAGCATCTAGGACTACTTTCATAAATGAGTATCTTTTTCCTATGAGGCAATCAAAAACTGCCTGAGAGGTAGCAGGAATGAAATGTAAGTTTCTTGGCTTTATTCTAGATTTACCCCCCAATTTTAATGGAAAGTTAGAAATTGATTTGATTTTAGAAAAGAGTTTTAATACCTGACAATTCAACTATCTTTAGAGCTCCTTGGAAGCTCTTTAAGAACTGTTCTTCTCCCTGTAACTAATGTCCCTTGACTCTGTGTGTGGCATTCATTTTATTGATGAACCAAAACAGTTATCTATTCAAAGCGTTGAATAACTTGTTCTTTTGAAGGGCAGTCTGAATTTTAGTTGTTGCTGTCCCTCTGACTGGCAACTTAAACCTGGGACTGTTGTTTCTGTTTTATTCACCAGCCTTGGAAATCATGTAGTCTAAACAACTTGACTTTTAAATTCCTGTTCCCGTAATCCAGTGTCTCTAATGATAAGCTACATAATCTTGAGAATGGGGAATGTGAGTCAGATATCCTTACTGATCTTTCATACAGTTGAACTAATGACAAACTTAAAACATCTCTTGCAGGATATCACTGAGACCTCCTGTTTTGCTAAAGTCAGTGCAGTCGTTTCTCACATAAAATATTTTATACAGATACAATGCTTTTGGCTCATCTGTCTTCACTCCTCTGTTAATATTAGAGTAGTACACTCAGGTTTGTACTTGTTTGGATCAGTGATGGGATCAGTAACCAGGATTGTAAGGGAACTTGTGAAATATGAGCACTAGGAAAGGGGTGTTAAACAGGCATCACGAGAATATTAGATCTTCTTTAACATTTATTGCAAAACTTTGTGATTACCTGAGATAATTTTCTGTCCTGAGGATCCTGTGATAGTTAGCTACCATCTAGTCTGTGTTTTAGAATGAATGTTGTCATTCTGATGACACAGGTATTTTATGTTTATGTACAAAGGAGTCCAATGCCATCATTCAGCTGGTCAGCCTTAACCTTCATAAAGGGTCTGTTTGATACTTAATTCACACCGGGAAAGGCTAACAAATACTTTTTAAAATGTTATTAAGCAAAAATGCCAGTGTAAGCTCAACAGTTCTTTCGAAATTGACACCCAACTAAATACAGTTAGGGAGCAAATTCTTTTTGAGATTAAGTATGAGTTGTCATTGGAGGGCCAATATTTAGTATTAAATGACTTCAGTTATTGTTGACATTATACTTTTACCTTTGTATGCAGTCAGCAAACAAGTTCCACAAGTTCAGAGAGAATCAAGAATATATGCTGCATTCTCTAAATAATGTAAAATAGCTGAATTCATGCCACCTTCCACCCAAAGATGTGAAGTTTTGAGCAATTTTTAAATCCCAGCGGGATTTAAATATGTGAATATTGCTTATGCATATCTAATAATTTCTAGTCTCTTTATTTAAAATCAAGTAGCCTCTTCCTCATTGGCATCATTGTTTGTTTCAAGCAGTACTGTCCTCCTATGTTTTTGGATAGTCTCACCTCACCCTTAACAGCAAGCAGTACGTCTGTCACCACCACCAGCTCCCATGAAAGCAGTACTCATGTTAGTTCATCCAGCAGCAGGAGTGAGACAGGGGTCATAACCAGCAGTGGAAGTAACATTCCTGACATCATCTCATTGGACTAAAGGAGGACTCACTTGATTCTGGGAATCATTCATCAGAACTGCTTTTTCTTGGATCTCTAATCTGTGGAAACTATTTTTTTTTTAAACAATTTGGTATTTATTGAAAGTCAGATGGATTCTTTTGCTTTCTGAGAGGTGAACACAGAAGACTGCAACAAGAACCAAATGACATGCAAGGATTTTGCTTAATTATGCTGTACTCTCAGCATCAGATACATTCAGCCATAACTGTAACTTCCTGAGAGATGGATTTCACTTTCATACATTAATGGATGGAGTCTACAAATCAATGAAAAAAGTTTTTGTTAAAGAGCAATAAAATTATGTAAATATTCAAGTAACCTTTTTTCTAATTAAAAAAAATTGTAATCAGTGATTCTAGAATGACAGCAACTTCTGTTTAACCTACGTGAAGGAAAAAAAATGGAAAGAAATTAATGTTTGCTGAAGGAGTCCTTTCCATGGAGATTTGTTCTGTTTCATTGAAGTAATGAAGTTTCAGTACGTGGCCAAAGCTTGGATTCCACTCTTCGTCCTGCAGTTCCACTTTTCTTCATGATCCCATCAAAGAAAAACGGCCTTTATGTTACTTGGCTTTTTTCCTGCTTATCATTTACACTTTGACGTTGTTTGCTAATGAATGCTGTGTGAAGTTCTGGGATTTGGCTACTCTTCATTGGAGATTATGTTTAAGAGCACTATGCAGATTCTGCCCTTGACATAATGTGTGTTATTATGTTTTTAGTAATTGTACATTCTTCATTCTAGAGTTTTCTATAAATTTGAGGCTTGTCTTCTCAAACAAGAAACCCTATGCAGCCATTGAATGAAATGTCTTTGGGGTACGGTGTGACTGAAATGTTTGTTAGAAATTTGTTCACACTATCAAATATTGATATCTTGGAGCCAGCAGAAGAGCAAATTTTGGGAGGTGGTAATAACAAAATTTAATTTCTTCCCAAGAACTTAATTTTCTCATTTATTTTACAGAATAGTAGTGAAATACTTGATGAAACTTTGTATTTTGGTAGCACTGACATAGAAAATGTGTTTTAGATTTATGATGATCATATTTCTCACCAATGTAATTTCAGTCTCAGCAGTGATTTTCAAACTTAGAAAAAGGGACAGCATCAGATTTTTTTTTTCCTTTTTTAAAAACGAAATCTTACCTGAAACTACAAAAGACAAATGAGAATTATAAATGTTTGAATTAAAGTGAAGAAGCGTTGGGGATGATGGGCCTGAACCCACTTCCTGTCTCAATCCATGCTACCCCAAACACTTCAGGGAATCTCTGAGGTTGTATTGGGTGCACTTTGAAAATTTTCTTATGTAATGTGTTGGTTTGATTTTAAATCACACAGAAAACTGGATTTTACTCTTAGAGAAACATTTTCATCCAAGTTTTATAGTTTGCTTCATTTGACTTCCTAAATCATTTTTGACTTCACAAGGATTTAGTACTTTTCTGTTTAGCTTTCTCTCTCTAAGGTTTACCTTAAAAACGAAGTCCTTGTTTTAATGGCCAATCCAACCAATTGATTTCTCAAACTGAAGTGCCCAGGTGAGGACTCATCAATTTCAGTTAGAATAGGGGCGTACTGCTTAAGAGTTGGTTCAGCTCCAAGGAGCTTACTTGTCCTTGCTTGGGTTTTGTTTTTCTTGTTTTTTTGTTTGTTTGTTTGTTTTAGTTTTGTTTTAACCTTCTCAAGTTTCCATGGTCTTTGTGTATTCTTTTTATGTTGATTTAATTTCATGTGGTTTCCCATATCATCCCTTCTTTGGCTACATCGTCTCCTTATTCAAGGGATTATCCCTTTGTGGGGGCTGCTTATTTTAAAGATGTGGGGGGAAAAACCCGAATCTACGAGCAGTAGTTGCACATAGTTGCCAGTTTTACTTTCTTAGTCATTAGATTTCCAACCCACGTTGTAGTTTTTTGGTCCAGATATAATATTTCTTTCTCATAAAGTTTTATGTTGCTGCTCTAAATACAGATGCAATTTTTATTGACTCTGTAATCAGATAGAAAAAATTTAACTTGATTTGTGTGGCATAATTAATAAAGAAATGATGTATATTTGTTATTTTGTTACCCTTTAGATTGTCAGAGACTCCCCAATTTAATCAACAAAGTTTTATAAAGTAAATGAAAATATTAACAGAAATTAGTTTATTTACTTGGTTCTTATAACTGATACCTCTGTGCTTTTGTAATTGTGATTTTTTTTTTTTCTGTTTTCTGTGAACAGTTTTAATGTTCAGTTTGGTGTTTTACACTGAAATTACATATAAATTTTTAATTTATTTCATACAGGCAATTTGCATTTTAAAAAATACACTTTGAAGTTTATCATCTTGAAGTTGGGGCTTACATTGTGTATCTGTCTTTGAGCATTAGTACTTTATGATTTTGGCCTTATGGCAGCATCATGATTACTGAGCCATCAGACTTTAATATGGTCACTGTTTCTTATCCAGACCCTAACTTTCTAGTAGTTTATTTTGCTACCCCAGATTTCTGCTTAACCAGATATAAGGGAGTTTCAGAGGGGTTGTCTTAGCTGTTACCTAGATTATCTTAGGAAATGAACTGTAATTGTCAGTCTCCTAAAATCAATTTTTTTTTTTTTTTTTTTTTTTTTTTTTTTTTGAGGCTGAATCTTGCTCTTGTTGCCCAGGATGGAGTATAATGGCACAATCTTGGCTCATCGCAACCTCCGCCTCCAGGGTTCAAGCGATTCTCCTGCTTCAGCCTCCCAAGTAGCTGGGATTACAGGCATGAACAACCACGCCCAGCTAATTTTGTATTTTTAGTAGAGACGGGGTTTCTCCATTTTGGTCAGGCTGGTCTCGAACTCCCGACCTCAGGTGATCCGCCTGCCTTGGCCTCCCGAAGTGCTGGGATTTACAGGCATGAGCCACCATGCCCGGCCAAAATAAAATGTTTTTATCTTTCTTCACTTAGAACTATGAAGGGCTTTTCTTGCTCTGGTAATCCCCCACAGTGTAATTGGTGCTGAAAATAGCTTTGTGCCTGAGGTCTGTTTTCACTCACTCACTTTCTGACCATTAGGTGAGCCACTTCAGGATTTTCTAGCCTGAAGTTATAAAAACTTGGCATCTGTCCTTAGATAATTGTAAAGGCAAAATGAAAGCATTGAGGTGAATTTAGGTTATATGGCATTTATATGGTAATGTGTTTCAGAAAAGCTAGAATGAAAATATGATGTAAGGGATGGCAAGTATAGGTTGATTCATAATTCTTGGTATAAAAGCAAGTTTTCCTTAGTCTTGAGGAATTTGAAGAAAGGTAAAATGTTGGATTTTAGGCAAAGTAGGATTGACCAGAGACTGTTCTGACTTTGACATTCAGACGTTTCAGACGTTCTTCCTTTAGACCAGTCCAAGACACTCACCATTTCCAGCCAAGTTGTCTTTTTTTTTCTGCCAATAAAGTATTCATTAGTTGACATTTGTTTGTATTTTAAGTAAAGTCAATTTTTTTAAAACATTAATTTAATTCATAGGTATGCCTTTCATTTCTCTGGCCTTCAGTTGGTTTAAAAAAAAAAAAAAAAAAAAGCACTTAGCCAGACCATTCTTTCTTTAGTAAACATTTTTATTTTCTTAATTTTTCCTGCAAGATTTCCTCCATTTTCATGGAATGTCATAATGACATTACCATTATTTTCTAGCTCTTTTCATCATAGAAAAATGTAGAGCAGTGCACCATTTAAACATGTCTGACATTAGATTTAGTGGTCCTGGGTTCATGTGATTTGGGAGCTTTAAGTTGTCATTTAGATTGATGATTCAACCTGACTCACCATCTTTTTTACTACAATTCTACATGAATGTGGTGAAACAGGTAGAAGAAAATTAAGCATTTCTCTGCTTTTGGAGTCTAATGTTCCTGCCAAGTGACTGGTTTGTAACACCCCCCTCACCCCCACTTTGTTAGGAACCTGCAATTCCTAAAAGAAAGAAATAAAGCTGTATACAATGTCCATTCGTTAATGCTTGCCTGGTTGAATAATGTTTGTTTTTTCTGTTTATGTAAGTAGTACATGCTTATTGCGGAAAATTTAGACAATACAGAAAAGTATAACAATTGCCTATAATTCTGTCACCAGAAAAAAAATCAAAAAAAATCACTTGATATTTTTGCATATTCGTTGCCAGTGTCTTTGCTACTTCTGTATATTTTTACATAGTTTCATCATTCTCAGTGTAATTTGTATCTTGGGGTTTTTCCCCTCAATCTACAAGCATTATTCCATGTCATTAAAAACTGTGTCAACTATTATTAATTTTATGGTACTCCGTTGTTATGGATGTGCCATGATTCATAAAACCTGTCCTTATTTTGAACAGTTTAGATTGTATCTCATAATGCCATGGTGAATGTCTTTGTGCATAAATTATTTTCTTAGGATAGATACTGGAAGTAGAATTTCTGGTCAAGGGTATATGAACACTTTTGTAGTTGTTGATTCATATCACTTTTCCACATGGGTATGCTAATTTATACTGCAGCTGGATGGTATGAGAAGAGTGGTCTAGCCATATTTTCCAAGAACATGAAATGTTTTATCTTTATGCAGGCATCTGCACTAAGACACTCTGCCCTTCTGACCCTGTGGAACGGGGTTAACTGATTTGGAGATCTTTGGCAGAGATTTTCCCAGGCTTTCTTAGTTTTAAATATATCTGACATGGGCCGGGCGCGGAGGCTCACGCCTATAATCCCAGCACTTTGGGAGGCCGAGGTGAGCGGATCACCTGAAGTCAGGAGTTGGAGACCAGCCTGGCTAACATGGTGAAACCCCATCTCTAGCAAAAATACATAAATTAGCTGGGTGTGATGGCAGGGCGCCTGTAGTCCCAGCTATTTGGGATACCGAGGCAGGAGAATCGCTTGAACCTGGGAGGCAGAGATTTCGGTGATCTGAGATTGTGCCACTACACTTACAAAGCAAGACTCTGTCTCCAAAAAAAATTATACACACACACACAATCTGACATGTTCCAGAAACACCTGCATATGGCTATCCAAGTTTTTCACGTGATTTTACTTGCACTGTAAAGTTGCACAAATATTCTTTGTCAGACTACATTTTCCATTTTTAGTTCAAAAGTGTTGTCACTTTTTTTAAAAAGCCGCTTGTACCTAAGGCCTGCCCTTAGAGGTCAGCTCTCTTTTTCCTCTTCCTGTAGGCCCGATTATGGCCTTTCTGAGCTCCCCAAAGCCAGTAGAATCTACTGAGCCAAAGGCATTCAGTCCCCAAACTGAAAAGTGGTAAGGCTAAAAACTATAAAAACAGGCAAACATTGCCTATTTTCACTTTCTATTCCCTTATGTTTCCAATAAGGGTAGCTGCGGGGAAAGGAAAAACAGATTGCTATCTTCAGATGTTTGAGGTACAACATTTTCTTGATTGGCAAATGCCAATCATTTCCCAAACCTTCCTATTTCTGAATGGCTTTTAAAAACTTTATTTTGTGTTCTCAAAGCGTAATTCTTTTAAATGACAAAGAGTGTTACCCTGTTATAAAACAGGGTAAAAGAATGTCTTATTCTTGGAATAGCTCCTCAGAGGAAAGTGGTGTTATTCCCCATTTTACAAATAAAACGGGTTTAGATAGGTTTTCCAAGGTCACAGTGAATGAGTAGTGGACTTGGGAGTCTGACCCAGACTTACCCCAAAAGCTCTCTGCCTGAACTGAAGTGACATTAATTAGCTCTGCTGCCTAGGAGACTGGTATGGGAATCTAGACTTAAAATCATGAGAACTGGTTTCAGAGGATGGCCAGAGTAATAAGGAAGGAGTGGATGCTGAAGCCACTTCAGAGGAAGACTCAAGATTCAGTGACTGGATATATGAGTAAGGATTGAGTCCATTTTTTATCCATTTTTCAAGCCTGGGTAACTTGGATGTTAATGGTACTATTTACAGAGACAGGAGGCAGTTTAGAGTGAAGATGAATCACGTATGGGAGACAGTGATGAATGGTAAGCATGGGATTTCAGAAAGGAAGCATCCGTGAGGCTCATTCCTGGTTTTTCTGCAGTCTTTTAAATAAAAGTACAAACCTCCCTTGTCATCCATTTTTGTCTTCACTTATCTCCATTCTGTATTATGTTCTAGTTACTGATCCCTTCCTAGGCCATTCTTGGCTACATCTTAGCCTTTTCTTTTGATTTTTCTCTTCACTGCCTTGCCCATAACAAATTTGGCTGCCACCTGCCATCCCCTACAGCTCACACCAGCGTGGGCTGTGTTCACATTCTACATATCTCAAGATACAGTGGTTGCTGTCCTTCCCCCTACTCCATCGTTAACGCCTCTCAAAAATCTCTGCCTCTGAGGCTCATGCTAAGAGGTTACACTATCAGCTGCGTCTAGTCTTATAACTGCCTAATCATTCCCCTTGATTTGCTGGACGCTTTGGCTCACAGGGTTCCTTGCCATCCTTGATTCTGGTCATTATTCTCAATATCTTCAGCATTCTATAGGTGATTTATCCAAGTTGGTCTGTGAGGTTTTGGTTACTTTACCTCCAACATTTTCTTCTGCTGAACCACACCTTCTGTTTTCCTCTTTGCTACTTGTCCAGCTTGGACTGCTCTTTCATTATTGCAGCCTTGAACAAATCTCAGTCACCTATCCATCCTCTGACATGACTTAGCATAGTTCCTTTGCCCATGCTCATCAGTTACAACAAATGTTACTGCTCTCTTTTCAGACCACTTCCTTCTCAGAAGATGGCTTTGCTGCTTAATTCAAACAGAAGGGACAGTCCATCAGCATGATTTCTTCCCCACCTATGACCACCTCCGTCCTTTTTTATTTCCAGTCTCAGAGAATGAAGTAGGCCTTTAAGGTCAACTCAGCCACATGGGCATTTGACTCTGGTCTCCTCCTCTCATCTTCAGGACCTTACCCTGTCAGACTTCCCCTCTCTTATCTCCATGTCTCTCACCTCTCTACTGCTGCTTTTCTTGGCTTACAGATGGTCTCAGTCATCAAGTATTTGAGATTATATTAGGTGCCAGGCATTGTATCAGGCACTTGAAACACAAGACAGGTTCCTGTCCCCACCAAAGTTGTGCTCCAGTAGCATCAACAGAGATGTGAAATAGGGAGATTACAATGTTAATGGTAAAAGGCAAAGTATAGGGTGCTACAAGAGCATGTAAATGAGGCACCTCAATGATTTGATAGAAGTAATATAGAGAAATGTGAATTGATTAAAAGCTTGTCCAAAAAGAGGGTTGAAAATGTTTAGAATTGCTGGAAGTTTGCTAAGGAATATTGAGAAATATGCATAGATAGATCGTGAAGGGCCTTGTAAAACAGTGATGAGGCATTGAAGAGTTTTCATGATCATTAGTAGTAATGATAATTTGTTGAGTATGGTATGATTATCTCCATATTACAAATGTGGAAACAGATTCTGAGCAGATGAGTGACTGACTTGTCCAAGGTCGTGCAGCTGGTAATTGAGGAGTCAGGCTTCAAATCCAGTTTTTAACTACTTTCTCAAAGGCCTTTCTTGATCATTCTATCTAAAAAGCAAGCATTTCCTAACTATTATCACAGTACCCTGTTCATACACTATTAATATGTAAAATAATCCCTGCATATTGTCTGTTTCCCATGCTAGATTGTAAGCTCCATGAGGGCAGGGGTGATAACTTTTAACTTGCATCCCAGAGCCTAACATGATATGTGGTACATAGAAGGTACCCAGTAAATATTGGTGGATGAAGAAATAGTGGATAACCATTTGCACTTGACTTATGCTGACTGGAAATTCAATACCTTTGGAATATATAATACCTCAGCGGTAAGCATTCACCAAGAGAGGAAAACAGAAGGAGGTGCATGTTTAGGGTGATTGGTACAGGAGATGGATACTGAGGTGTTGGAAGGCAGCGTACTCACCTTCTGAACTCCAAAAACTTACAGGGGCAAGGGCCATTAACAAGGGGTGGGTAGAACAGTACACAGTGGGGATAATAATGTGGGAATAGGTGTTGTATTAAACCTGAAAGTGTAAGCAACTCCTTGTAGACCCACCCTACTGTGTATAAAAGGCTGGAGAAATTCTTCATATGATCTACTCTAGGTTAAGTATTGAGGACCACCTTATCTGGGTCAGGTACACCACACTGATACAATATAATTGTAAATATAATTTATCCTCGGTCTCTTATGGCTAGCCACCTGACCCAAATCATTATTAGACTCAATACTTTGGAACTGGAACAAAAATCAGTTGACCTGATTTCTGAAAGACATGCCCACCTGCTATTTGACAAGCTATAGACATACCCCACAATTGATGGGTAGTAGCACTGAAACTATCAAAGTGGATGAATTCATCCAGAGGAGTTGATGAGTGAGAAAAAAATACTGGAAAAGGAACACAAGGAGATCAAGAAGGATCAGCTGAGACTGAAGGAAAATAATGTATTACAGAGGCCAAAAAATAGAGTATTTCAAGAAGCAAGTGGTTACTGGAGTTAAAAGCTGCTGATACAACCTAAAAAGGTAAGTATCCATTTTTTTAAAAAGCTTTCATTTAAAACAACACCATATTTGATTGAATCTAAGTGCCTGATTGTAAGACATTAAAGAAAAACGCTAAACTATGACCCATTGCTTTCATGGTCAATGAAAGTACTTCAATATGTATCCTATTAAAATGTTGAGGAGGGATGAATATGCATCTTATAAGTGAGGAATTATGATAATTTTTGTCTTCCTTTGGCTTTCTTAACCAGGCCGTATCTGGTAATTTCATCAAGAACAATTTCAGTGGTATCCAGATCAAAGGCAGATGAAGGGATGGGTATGGACATAGGCATGTGTGTCATTTGAACAGCAGAGAGTTAAAAGAGTTACTTAGTGGTTTGACTTTCATGTCTTTGAGAACCATGTGATTGACGTGATTGGTTCCAGAAGCAAGGAGGAGGTAAGGATGATGTATGAGGATAACAGCCAGTTTCAAATAGCAATCCTGGAGAATCAGAGAATGGACTAGAGGTGAGTTGGACACTGTAGACTTGCAGTGATAGCTAAATGGCAGAGCTTTCTTCAGTAATGCCCATTGTCGAAGCCATAGTTGTGGAAGAAGTCAGAGGCTGGATTTATTCAAGGTTGGGGTTTTGTCACATTGGTGCCACAGAGTGGCAGGGGTAATCTCCTGAAGTTGCTGGCAGGTAGTTTACTTGCTAGAATCTCAGCTGCCCTCACACTCCTGGAATTAATTTTTGTTGAAGTCAAATGTGCTCCTAAT